AAAAAAAAAAAAAAAAAAGAGTAAGAAGAAAGTCGTTTTAGTAGTCATGTTGCGTCTAGTAACGTCGATACGTACGGTGGAAAAGTCCACTCAAGTCATAAAAGCGGGTAAATATGTCGTGGTAGTCGTTGAGACATTCGTAGTTGGTATCATGTACAAGAAGAATATTGTGAGAATGAAAGAAGCAAACAAATGTGCAAGCATAATTGAAGGTAAGATGGGTTTCAGCCACGACTCCGTCGTCCTAGCATTCGCCCTATCACGTCGTTTTGTCGCTTGCGTGGCGACGAAGGGGCAATCCGATGGCCTGTCTTGCGTTGGTCACTTCCCGACCGACGGTGAAACCAGAATGAGCGGCCCCCAGATTCAGTATCGGAATCATCATCGTACTCAAAGACCGAGTGGGGCTCTGCTTCCGGTGCCTCTTCCGCCTCCGGTGGTGGCGTTGGCGGCAGAGGCCGCATGCCAGGGAGGGACTTCTTTGAGAGTATGACAGAAGCGGGTGGCTGGGAACTTGTGGAACAAAGATGTTTGGTAGGACCGCGTGAGGCGGTTTCGAAGTAGGAATCACGCTCCGGGGGTGTTTGAAGTCGCATCTCTTGCGCAGTAGTTGGACGATTTTCCTTTGGTGTAATAGGACGGGGCGAGTCTTGAGAAACGGTGAAGTGTGCAACGAGTGGTGAGTTCTGCAGAGAACGGAAGACGTATACTTCTTCATGCGGACGAGGAGGCCGTTGAGGCTTTTGCTTCACATCTCGAGAGCATTGCCATGATGGAGCCTGTGGTGCAGTACGAGGTGGTAATGGGAGCGGTTTTGGGAAAGGGGAATAAGTGGTTGCCGGCTTTCGGCTCTGGCTGCGAGTGTTCTCAGAAAGAGGCAACAGTTTGTTGCGGTATTGCCCTGCTTGCTTTTGCCGTCGTTGCTGTTGCTCCTGCTGTTGCTTCAGCTCTTGTTGCTGCCGCTGTTGTTGTTGCTGTTGGGCAGTGGGATTTAAGGCCGGGAATTGCTTTCTTGGTTGAAGTTCAAGCTTGGCGGATTTACTTGGAAGCCAGAAGCTGTCCCATAGCTCAGCGCCATGAGCGTGGTACTGATAATCATCGTCCAGGGAGACTTCTGAGTCTGTTCGATCGTCGATTAGACTGGGCGAAGACCCTTCGGATCCCAAAGACGCCCTATCGTCTGAGAAGCGACTCCGAACATAGTGCGATGGACGTTCCGGTTGTTGAGGATATGAGTAGTTGGTAACAGGGTAATATTTGGAAACAAGTTTGAGATCGGCCAGTTTGCTAGAGCGCTCCATGGTGGGCCGTTGAACTGGCAAAACGAAATTAGATTGCAACAGTATTGATATCGAAATGAAGAAACCAGGGATGCGGACGGCATGATATACAAATAGATGTGCAAGCAGAGCTGTCAAAGAGATGTTGAAACATAAGCGTGGGTCCACCACACCCACTTGAGGCTTTGCATTGCATGTGTTCTAAATGTTGATAAAGCATGCGCCCTTGACCTGGAGGGGCATTCCAGGGTAGAGGGGCTGCTAAGTCTAGCCATCCCTCTCGTCAGACAACCTCGAGCATTCCGACACTCACATCTTGTTCGAGGGCTCAAGCTAGTTTGGGCTCGGGCCTCGGGGGCTGTTGGTATGCAGACGCGATTGATCCCTTGCGTCATGCTTTTGGGTGTCGTTTCTCTCTCAGACTTACAGAAAGGTCTTACGAACCAACTGCAGATGCATATCCGTTTGCTCTGATACACTCGTGGCTGCTTGAACAACTGATGCCAAGTCTAGAAAACAACTGTTCTGATGGTCAAAAAAGCAATCTTCAAGAAGGTTTTGGAAGAGGAGTCGGACACTACGCACAATAAAAAGGCGAACTGTATAATGCCAGAATAGTCTTTTCGGGAGAACAAAGAGAAAGTGCGAGTAGGGCAAATCACTCACTCATTACCCGCACTTGAATTTTTCACGTAAAGCAAAGGTTCTTCTATATCGATGGTATGGTGCGCTCGCGCTCAGATGGCTTCGGCGACTTCGTTGACTCCATGGATCTGGTTTTTTAGCCATGATCAAGCTGATCGGTGTCTTCATTCAACATCCGCTGTAGTATCGCTTGAGTAAACATGCAAGCTTGCCAGATATTGGGTCCAAAGTCCTGGACCGAGACATACAGGACTCGTGAGGTTTGGTCCCTGAGGAATGCAGCAGACGATGCCAGTGATCGGCGACGGTTGGTGTCAAAAAAAAAAAAGTCTCTATTTTCGTCAGTCTCTACGAGCTGAGCAGTTGTGCCTTTGTTCGTGATTGAGATCTGTAGTATCGCCAAGGCCGACGCGGTACACGAAACAGCACAAAGGGATCTTCTCTGCTTCTGTGATAAAAACAGCAGCGTGTTAGCTTGCTATCAGACACGTCAAGGCGCTCTGCTTATTCAAAGCATCTCAGCAAGTCAGACCAGGCTCAGAGTAAAGCATTCAATATGGAGACCTGCAAGACCTGGAACAGCTGGATAACTTGGAACACGAGTCGAGCTCACTGACGCAGAACGGCCTGTACCGAAGCTCTGAGCGAGGAGACATCCTCCCTGCTTCATTATCAAGACCTTGGAGTGGAGTCGTGAGACACTTGTCTCCGATAGCTCAGAATAACGTCGGATGAGCGTTGTTTGAGTAAACATTGTGGACCCTGATCCGTAGCAACGCGCCTTTGGTGGATGAGAAAAACATTCGATTGCATCTGGATGCATAAGCCGGCAGTCCCGCGCGTTCTTGCCTTTGAGAAGAAAGGAAGAGGTGGCAGGTTGAGATTGAAATGGATGCCGATGTTAAGGTGGGGATTAGAAAAGAGGAAAGAGGGTACCAGTTGGGGCATGTAGGGTAAGAATATACTAATTGTACTATCTTCTTACCTTGTAGGTACTCAGAGAAAGGGCAGTCGCAATCACAGTCCCCGCCGGAACTATCCAGACAGGTACCGGAAGTTAAACCTCGCCCTGCTTGGGCCTTCCTTAAACAAAACATCAGCCGAAAACAAGAGAAAGAAAGAAAAGTGAGAAAAAGTGATAAGTCGAGGATTGGTACATACAGGCGCGCAATGCAGGAACTGGTATTAATCCATGCCAAACCTGTCAACTGTCAAATCGCGGGTCTTCGTGAACTAGGAGCTCCAGCTGCAGCTGCAGCTGCAGCTGTTTCTTCACTCTGCATTAGTTCGGTTCATGCTGGATGCTGGGCGGGCTGTCTATGGATGCAGGGTCCCCTCCATTCTGACAAACTCAGTCGACGTCGAATAGATCGTTTCCCTTGCACGGTTGCACCCAAAAACTAGTTGTGTTCAGTTCAGTTACACGGAAATATCATGTCCATGGATGAATATCATTCAGCCGGTTCATACCCTTCGCAGGTATACCTACTTCAAGGGCATTCAACTGGGGGTAAAAATTAGACCCAACCACATTCTCGAAGAAATGCCCGCTCATTCACGTATTCTAGGGTAGCATCAAGGATGATACTATTCAATTGACGGATCCCTTGCTCCATCGTTGACCCTGGGTGACATGGCTAGCACCAACTCTGCTGATAACTTTTGAGCTTTGGGCTTCCCTTCCCTCGACATTTTGGGCAACACATGTCTCAAAAAAAAGTGTCTTGGGCCAGATCACCAGCCAGTTTTGGGGCTCTTCCGGTGCTCAAGTCGTTCAATCATAGCCTTCCTTTACTATTCGATCGGCGATCTGGGTGCTTTCTGCCCTCTCTTCCTCGCGTGTATCAGCCGTGACGTCAGATATCTGGCGATTCTTCGATAGGAGGAATGGAGATAGTACTCAACGAGGAGGCACCTCGCGATTCACATACGCGCCTTGCGTGCTTACATAGTTGCGATCGAACAGACCACTCGATCGAGAAAAAAAGGTCTGCCACCATAAAGCTGAAATGCAGAGGACAAGTCTGCCTGCATCTTGGCTGCATATGCTACAGCCATGCATATTGTTGAGATTAGGATGGACGTGACATTCATCCAACGAGATGTTTCGAGGACCCCGGACTGTGACCGCTTTCTCTCCTGCACGATCCCTTCATGTGGATAGACTGCATCTCATGGTCTTTGATATCTGGGGTTATTCGTACCTGATCTTGACGGGTCCATGATTGTTTGATAGCTCAGTTCAGGGATACAACAGCAAAACCACCCGAGTCAATGTTCTTTGGTCAGCTCGTGAAGGTCTTTCTTTATATGTAATGCTATGCTCAAGGCTGGCTACTATTAAAGCAGACTGCTTGCTCGTCTGTCGGGATCATCTCAACAATCTCGATACACAAATTTGCAACTTCAGAGGCGTCCAGTGAGATTACTGCGATGGTGCCTCTGGTTCAATAACGGCACAGGATATCTTAGGAACAAGTTTTCTCATGTAGGGATGCATTTCATGCGGTGGTTGCAACCACCATGGGATTTTGCTCGATCGCTCGATCACCCAAGACACTCTTTGCTTTACAAGACTGCCGTCTTATAATAAGAGGTGACGGGCTCGTTAAGCCTGTAGCTCTCCTCCATGGCTCCTACTTTTGAAAACCTTTCTCGGGCCAGAAGAAAAGATTAACCAATCTTGATATATTTTCCGTGTGATTACCATCCTAGAAGACAATCACGAATCCATACAGCGGAATAATCGAACGACACCATCTAGACGGCTTCATTCCAACTTACTATCCGACAGCTTACGGATAAAACCACGCAACGCCAGAAGGGGCTTCTGGTAAGACACGGCTACTGAGGACCAAGCCAACAACACCTTTCAACCCATTCAAGTGGCGAGGGCGAGGGCGAGGGCGAGGCATTCAGACAATGCAGTGCATTTTGCTGAGGGGCTACCCTACAGAATAACCGCAGACCAGCCCAGCTTGTCGGATGTTTCAGGCGGAAGAAAAAGCTGAACTCCGACTCAAGGGAGAGAACAGAACCAATCCGGAGGCCCTCCGACCACATACGTCCATTGAGCCTTGCTGAAATCCTAATGTCCAAAGAACATGCTTCTCGAATACGTAACAAAAAGTCGAACCGAAAGAAGTCACATACCGAAGGATCAAGAGCTTTCAAAAGCCGGCGATACATTGTCAAGGCGCTTGAGGATTGAAGAATATATATCAAGAAAAGAAACGATGAAAAAAGAAGCAGCAGGATAACATTCAACATCGTCCTCCATGCAGAAACCACGCTAAATCTTATCGCCGACTTTATGCACATCATGCGACCTCCAATTTCAGATCTATATCGAAGGCATCCAACTAACTACTAGTAGGTACCTAGGTGCCTACATTATCAGAGGAATTGGCCGCTGAGAGAATAAGAGACGAAATAATTTGGCCACTTTATTCTGGTCGGCTAACTTGGAGGACAATTATTCTGTTACCCACCTGCCAATATCCGTCTACCTCTGGTACTATTATCCGTAACCAGCCTCAGCTTCGACTTTAGCTCCAACATCAATCAACGACTCTGATTGGAGGTTGAAGACCCTGACCTGAGTACGGGGCGTGCCGTGGCTCCCGTCCCTCCAGAGCCTATCTGGGTTAGAACGATTGTATCGATGGACGTGTTTCTAAAGAGGCTATCCATATTGTTAATGTTATTCTTGTTCAAGCAGCCCAGGCGACAGTTTACTGGCATACACGACAAATCGATTCTCATCAAGCGCCATCTAGTTTGGTTTTACGACTGACGTTTTTACTAAACCTAAAAAACGGCGGTAAACCTCGAAACAGAATACGGTATGCAGCCGTAGGAAACGTGGCAGACAACCGTTGTTCCGCTTAACGCCATGACGCAGCGTTACATCCGGCCCCGTTTCCACTTCCCAATTCGCCAAAGTCAACCAGCTGCTCGGTGCGGTAGGATTAGGCCAAAAATCAGGGGAATTGGGCGGAATCAATCTCCGGCATCCGGTAAAGTGACAATGCAGGTCTCGAAACAAGTCGAGCCCTACCTTGCCTAGCTTTAGGTAGGGACAGGTTTCCATCAATCCAGCTGGCATCGACTTGATGAAATGGATGTGCTTTCGTCAGCGAGCTCGTGTCCAATGGCACCGTCCGCCTTGCTCTATGCCTGAGAGTCAGAGAGTCAACTCAGTGCAGCGTTGGGCCCCTGCACATATGCACCGCACCATAAGTTGCTTCATTACTGAGCCCTGTTATCGTCCGCTCTCTGCTCTCTTATGCAATCTGTCGAGTGTAAGCACCAGGTAAAGAGGTAGAGGATTGGCAAATACTTTTTCGGAGCCGAGTGAATTGGGAATGGATGAGATGAGGCGAGACACTGATGCTCTAAAATCGCTATTCCCGAGACAATTAAGACAACCTCAAGGTCTCGGTAAATGTTTCTTAGATATTGATTTCTTTTAAAAGACAATCTGAAGTTACTCACCATGTCGTACTTATCTAGTGTTCTTGCGACACATCTAACAGATACAGGAATGCGAACGTTCGCTTTTGGCACACTATTAGAACCCGATCTTCCTAGGGTACAAAGACACGGCTGCAGTTGCTTCTTGAATCAGCATTAATCTACAGTAGGTAGGTACTAAGGAAGTAGAAGTTAGGTAGGCAGGTGGGCAGTTTAGCCAGACGTGAAACTTGTGAAGGTTTTAGTACTGCTGTAGATAGTAAGTACTAAGATACGGATGGGTAGGCCGTTCTTTAATATCACTACCAGCACATTTATTAGTCGCATTACGGAGTAGTTAGCAGATTCTTCAAAAACCTGGCGCAACTAATTAAGTCATAGTCGCGGCGCGGCGCGGCGATGCAAGTTTGATCGAGGGAGGAGCGCTCCAAATGCTGTAGCTTCCTTAGGTAGTCCGCTACGTCAGTGCGCACTTTCTCTTTTCTCTCTTCCTCCATCTTTCTTTCACCTACCTACCTACCTTATAACCTCTCCTTCTTCACCTCTGCAAAATATCTTATTATTAAGCTCATGCGACTCATGCGTAGATAATACAGATTCCAGAGAAATGCCATTGGCCTGTAAGAGGATATGCCGGCATTGTATTGTACTGCCCTTGCTATTTTCCACTTCCCCAGCCGCTCGATTTACTTAGCTCTTGCGGGCTCCGAGTTGCGCATGACGGCCTCGACATAACGTTGGAGCTGTCGCACGCCGATTGCCAATACCGAACCGGAATCAGATTCGCTGGACGAACAAAAACTGTCAAGACATACTTCATAAGGATTTCCAGCCAAGAGATCTGATAGTCAACAGCGACCACGCGCGCGCCAACAGGCGAACAAGCAGCACTTATCGTGTCTTTTGCGCCAGGAATCTATTATCTACAGCATATAATTTGCGCGCATTCGAGTCGCGTTGCCTTTACAAGTTCAGCGACACGAATCCATTGGCTGCTTTTCACATATCGCGTACGTCTGCGTGGTTTGCGAAGTGCTTGCAGTCTCACGTCTCTCACTAGTGGCTTGTTTCTTCAGGGACATCTAGGCTTTGCCTAGACCTTGGTCTGGTAGGCGGCCACAGCAGCTCCTAGCACCAGCCCCCCAATTTTCCAGCTTTGGGCTCCCTGCCACCAGCTTTTTTTTTTTTGACATCACCAGCCGATGCCCGTCCTCTTTGGCCCGCACTGAGACTCACCACCCGACTTTATTCTTCTCACCTTAATCACGCTCGTCTCAACATTCCAGTTGAGCAACTACACCCTCGGCTCTGTTTCGAGTGGACTCAGGCTCACACTTGGACCGGACTGAGACTTGGCCGTCTTTCCCGAGACCGTCGCATCATTCTCATCAGTTTGAGTTGGGTTACTCTACTCTGACCTGCTCACCGGTTAGCAACTCGAAAAGAACCCGACTTTGTACAACGCATCAATAACTTCCCCCACTCCACCACCACGACCCTCCACCGCAACGCAACACACCACCAGCGCCCGCTGGTGATCCTTCACCTTGTCGAACTTTCATAACCCAATTCCTCGCCCCTTTAGCGCCGCAGAAGTGACTAGAATACGCTCGTCCTCTGCTTCTAACGACCGTCACGACCTTAACGCGCCCACGAACCCTGCCCAGCACCAGCAACGCCAGCATTCAAGCTCCAGCTCACGACCACTGTTTAATCAGACGTCTGATCCTATTGAGCGACTCTCTACACCCCGAAGTCTTCGCCGAACTCCCAAGTTTGACGTACCTCCAAGCCCAGGTCCCGAGCCACGCAAATCCCACCGCCGAGCTGCTTCCCTTGGTTTTGAACCCAGGACAACCCTCGCGCCCGTTAACGATCTACCGGAGACTCATCCCACTGTATTGGGTCTCATCCCCGTTCGCTCAGCGCAGCCTCAAGTTCCCCGTCCCCGCCGACGACTTTCACAGGACTTGACTGAGGACCCTGACGAGGTCTCTTCCGAACATCCCCCAACCCCTCCAAGACAGACTCCTTCTCTACCTGCAAACTACCCAGAGCCTCACCCTGTGGTTAAGATCTCCAAGCATACCCACAGTGCCATCCTCTTTGCACTCGAGGAGGCGCTGCGCAATCCCAATCCTTTCACCCCAGATCTTGAAGAGGAATCTGCAAGTATGGCCGACCTTCTGGCTTCCGGAGGTATACCTCCAGCCTCTAACGGCAAACCTGCAGCTCCTCCGTTCCGCCCTGGCTCAGCTCCTGGTCAATCCGGTTCACCATCCGGAATTAGAGGTCCGAGGATGATCATGCAGGAACGCGCAGCTCGCGAAGCGCGACAACGTGCAGAGGCCGAGGCGCAACAACGCGAGAGAGCGGAACAAGAGGCGCGCATTTTGGAACAAGCTCGGAGAGCAGAGGAACAGCGTAGATCTGCTTCTGGCGTTGCTGGTGGGCAGGGTACTGATGCGGAAGCGCGCCAATCCATGAACCCCCAGCGACAGGCGCAACCCGCATCCGACAATACATCAGCTCGTCCTCGGGCAAACACTACTGGTCAAGCACCACATAATCGAGCTGGCCGATCTGGTACAACCAACCAACCACCCCCTCAGACATTCACTGGTCCAACCCCTGGGGCACCACCCAACTTCGCTGCTCAAGGCGCAGAAAGCGGAAATCAGGGAGGTTCCGGTGGGTCAAAGCCCCGTAACTCCTTTCCTCACGCCTTTGAGCGATGGGAGACATTATCCGCCCATTGGGAGGGTCTCACCAGCTACTGGATACGCAAGCTCGAACAAAATAAGGATGAAATGAATCGGGATCCCCTCAACCAGCAACTGGCCCGTCAAGTAACAGATCTATCTGCTGCCGGAGCCAACCTTTTCCATGCCGTGGTTGAGCTCCAGCGTCTTCGTGCAAGCTCCGAACGCAAGTTCCAACGCTGGTTCTTTGAAACCCGTGCAGAGCTGGAGCGTGCACAAGAAGTGAACGCCATGCTTGAAACTGCCTTGGACCAGGAACGCCGGGGTCGCGCTGATGCTATCCGCGAAGCTGTCGAAAACGAGCGTGGTACTTCCAAAGCTCAGAAGCAGCTTGCTGAGATGCGCAAGGAGCTATCTATATCCAAAGAAGAGGCACGCCGGGCATGGGAGGAACTGGGACGACGCGAGCAAGAGGAGCGTGACAGAACTTTGTCTCTCCAGTCAGGGCAGCCTACTATTGTCGGAGGCGTTCAGGTTGTCCCGATGACCCAAGGCGGACCCAGACATCAGAGCAGCCGGGCTCAAGGGGCCTACCAAACTGAATACGGCTCTGGTTATCCACCTGAAGCAAGGTCGTCTCCCCAGCATCAGCCTCCCGTGACAAGCGCCGGCGACCAATACCGTCAGCAGGGACTTCAAGCACCAATGTCAGAGGGTGGTTACAGCGAAGGTGAGTACGTGATTGACGCAAACGGCAACTTTCTGCTGGATGCCCAAGGAAACAAGATTCCCTTCGCTGGACCGCCCTCTACATATTCTGGTTCTGATGCTGAAGCAGAAGAGTATGCGACACCCGCCACAACTGTGCCCCCAAGCGGGAAGCAAGATTCTCCTTCAACCTCTACCGGAGGGGGAAGTGGCGGCAACGGTGGTCAGTGGACTGGCACATACTCAGATCCCCAAGACTATAGCGGCCAAGGGTACGGCACACCTGGTTGGGAAACGGTCCCTCGCCATCACCACCCTACTCGACTGAGCGATGTCATGGAAGAGGAGGACGAACGCAGCCGAGCAAGTACGAGCCGTGTTTAGGACTCGACGAGCTCGTTATAGTACAAACGGCCAACGTATATACCGTTTTGTCTCCAGTCACTAATTTAATGGCACCTTAATGACGCATTTATTCACAACGAGCACCAAGCAACTACACTTCGACAGAATCAAGAACACGACAGAGCAGATGGGAGTTACACGTTACTGTTTCCATGTTATAGCATTATTGCACTACTACAGCCTCATTCCTCCAGGCCCCGGTGTATGCAACGCCCCTCGGTATTCGACTGGAGGAGCTACATAGACTAAGCCTACACTTCGAGGGTCTTCAGGGTCTTCCGATGTTCTAATTAGGACTCTTGTCTTCGGTCTCATCTATTCGGAAATATCCACTCGCGAATTAACCTAATCATGCCTTCGTTTTTGCATCTAGCAAAGCGGGGACGAATCAGAAAATCTTAAGCTGCACAAGTTCCCGCATGTTTATTTCTCTGTGTTTTATTCTGGGGGAACTAGGATGCTGCAACAAGGAGCATAAGAGCAGCATGCTGACGGTGTGAGAACGCACCACAGAGTTCCCACTTGTTACCTCTCGATATACAATCTGTCCAGCACGACTTTCTCCGGCGTTTACGTTTACCTGCATACACGGCTTCATTGTCAAAACAAAAAAGAAAAGGGGGTAGTGGGTGGAGTTGCCGGTTTTTGGAGTACGGAGTGTGAAGGAATTTTGGAGTTCATCACAGTTACTATTTTCCTCATGTGTATGGATGACCTGCAGGTGTCTGGCCACCTAATATTTGCTAAATGAGTCGACGGCCAGGTTCACGAGAATTAGATAGAGTACAGATTCAATTGAGAATTTCGATGGATGAACGAAGCACGAACTCAGAAAGAGCACAGCCCTTGTGTGACAATATTAAGCGCGAAAAGCATTTGATCGAGCTTATAAAGATCATTCATCACATGCTACTTCATAGCAAAACATGATCCTATCTCTCAGGGCTCATGCAGTATTTCTATTTTGTTGGTATTGATAGCATTCATTGAATCCTTAAACGTATATATATATAAGAACATTAGGCTTGCGGAAGTTTGTTTTGCAACCCGTGGACCCTGTTGACAGACACTAACCAAGAATCAGACCCAAAAGGAACTCTACACAAGAAAACGCCTATCGTTCGCCTCCCTACCTCTGTTGGAACTCCGAAGTGCTAGATGGGTAATGTTTCGTGTTCATACAGCTGCGTCGCCTCTTGCCTCGGAGCCCTCCTGTTGTGGTGTGCTTCCCCAGGGGAAGCCGTCGCTGGTACTAGCTTGCGACACCTGTCGACTTGCGCTTCTGAACCAGCTAAGCGATAGAATATTATTGAGCGTGCCCGTCTCCGTGGAGCTCCTATTTCTCTGGTGCCTACGCGCGACAAGACCAGGGAAGCCCGTGCTCTTCCGCCGTCTTCGGGTCAGTCTTCGGGGGGTAGATTCAGTGCTGGGGCCCGACTCTTCTCCGGTCGGGCCACTTGTGAGTGACCTCTTTGTCGGAAGTAAGGGTGATGATTCTGTATGATGGGGCAGGGTACTAGACCGCCGCCTGTTACCAGGTGTGGTGGGCTCATCTCTATCCTCCAACTCGCCCCAGATCTCTGCTCGCTCAGCCCACCGTGGGGTCCTCTTACGAGAAGGAACCAATGACGTCTCATCGACCGTAGGAGGGAATGTCTGATATGTGTGTCGAGTAGAATCTTGGTCAGCGACGGCATTATCTGAACCGAGGAGAGATTCCTCCTCCTCTGTGTCTTCAACAAGGCCAAGGCCTGGCGCAAGAGATGATTGGCCCACACCGGGAGTGTGCTGCTCATCGCTCAATCGCCATGATAACGCCAAAACGCCAGACAGCAGAATAACTGTTCCCAAAGCAATAAGGCATGCCCTGAGGGGCGATATGAGGCTCGTCTGGTTAAAGTATATCAAGCCGTCCAAAATGGCAATGATGTTGTAAACACAGAAAACCAAAGGATAAAGAACGGAGGTCGAAACCAATTTGAGACCACGGTGTAAGTAGTAGAGCTGACAAAGAGCCAAAGTAATGAGCGCCATAACAATTGCCCATGATTGCCAGTGCACAAACTGATTACGTCCTGCAACAGTCTTGATAACTAGCTCCACAGAGGACTTGGCGAACAAAAGGGCATGAGCAGAGAGATCTCCGCTAATGACACCATATGTAATGCCCCGAGCTAGTCGAAACCGAGAGTCGTGAGATAGGCTCGACATGTTGTTGATTAAATCAACAGCAATAGCAAGGGTCACGACAAAAAGCGCTTGAAGGACCATCCAGATGATATATGGCCTCCTTGCCATGAGCGCTAACAACTCCTTCAAGTCATGCGCCGGCGAAGGTATAGCCCCAAAAATCGCGATCAATACCGCGCCAGTCGTCACAAGAAGCGTGCCAGAGAAAGACCATCTTGTGAAAGGCTCACTGAGGATTAATGATGCGCATATCGAGTTAAAGACAAGGCCGGCGGCCTGTAAAGTTGAAAGGACTGGGAGCGGGAGCGTTGAGATCTGGATACTACTCCCCAGAAGGTTCGCAACGATGAACATTCCCATGCCAATTTGCCATCTCCTCCTTCGGTAAGGTGGTCGTCGAATATCGTGGGGTCCCTTTTCGTCTTCGAGTATATGCGACTTTCGTTGTAAGGTCAGGCCGAGACTTTGAACACTTGTCGATAAAAGCCCAACGATGATTCCAAGCTATGAAAGATCTTATTAGCGCTGTTGCTCGTTGCAAAACTCCCGTACGCGACCACGTACAGCTATGCTCCCTCCAGAAGAGATGCCGCCGAGCAACCCCATTGCGCCTGTGCCAGGCCCAGGGTCATCTGGCAAGGGAGAGTTGAAGCGGGTGGTTGAGACGTCGCATAAGCAATTCCCTTGGTATAGTGGTCGCTTCGTGTTACTGAAACCGTGAAGAATATGATCGTTCCGATACGGTCAAGGGGAATGGCTAGTCAAAGCGCCAGTGTTAGGTAGCACGAGTAGCTGCCGAAGCTGTCGCCGGTCGAGCCTATGTACCGTGCTGGTTAGAGACGGAACCTAAAGAAGGAGAGTCGAAAAATGTTTGAATAGAGAGAGATGATTAATTCGATGTGATACGTCCTGGTTTCAAACTAATCAATAAGAAAGTCGGAGGCGGACAAGCTTGAGTCGTGCGTGGAACACCTGACGTGAATAGAGAGGTATGCAGCTACAACACGAGACTAGTGAACCAGCCACAGTGGCGGTGCAGTTACATAATGCACATCATGCGCGATAATAGCCAAAGAGGAGCATGAGTCTTTAATCTTGTACCGTCTTATATTAACCATATCAGATTTCTTTTTCTCTATTCACATCGGTTCTATCTACCAAATTTTGAACTAACCAACTCTGTTGACTGTCGATGCTAGTGACGTTGAGTCTCGCTGGCTAAGTACTTACGTAGGTAGGAGATAAACACTCTAAACTGTGGGGTGTGGCTGTGGCTTGATCCCTCCAAGCTCCAGTTCCCTGCTGGAGCACAGTAAGATATAGGTACTAAGCTAGGACGGAGCTGGTAGGTTTGGTCTTGGGCGGCTGGCGTCACATCACAGCTACCAACTCCATCATAGTCCATCCTCGACCTCACTACCAAGAGGTCATCACCAGCCTTTCATCGTCTCCTCCTCGACCCTGTAGAGGTCTTTTCATCTTCATACTATAAGCATATAAACCTCACCTAACCTGAAAAAAACCGCCCATCATGTCGCAACACGCTCTATCCGACCAGCAGGTACGCATTACCCATACCCAAACGACGCAACCCGTCTTACCAGCCCCGTATTCTAACACGCGATGCCCCATAATAGGTCGACAATGAGCTTAAAAAGATGACGGCGTTCATCAAGCAGGAGGCCATGGAGAAGGCCCGCGAGATCGAGATTAAGGCCAACGAGGAGTTCGAGATCGAGAAGTCCAAGCTCGTCCGCCAGGAGACAGACGCCATCGACAGCCAGTACGAGAAGAAGTTCAAGCAGGCCACCATGTCCCAGCAGATTACCCGTTCTACCGTTGCCAACAAGACGCGACTCAAGGTTCTCGGCGCCCGTCAGGAGATGCTCGATAACATATTCGAGGAGGCTCAGAAGAAGCTTGCCGAGGGCGCCAAGGACAAGGCCAAGTACCAAAAGGCCCTCAAGGGTCTGTTGCTTGAAGGTTTCTATGCCCTCAACGAGCCTGAGCTCCAGGTTCGCGCGCGCAAGAAGGACTACGATGTTGTCAAAAAGGCTATTGAGGATGCTGCCAAGGACTTCAAGAAGGAACTCGGAAAGGATGTCACGGCAAAGATCCAGGAGGAGGACCCTCTTCCCGAGGGAATGTATGTGATACTCATTGAACTAAACTGTGTGAAAGGTAGCTAACAAAGACACAGTGCCGGCGGAGTAGTCATCGTCAGTGGAAGCGGAAAGATCGACATCGATAATACCTTCGAGGCCAGATTGAAGCTGCTGGAGGAGTCTGCTGCGCCTGCGGTGCGAGAGGCTCTATTTGGCAAGAACCCCAACCGCAAGTTCACTGATTAGAACCTCTTAGCCGCCTGCTTGTATGAACGCCTCTACTCTATCTAGACTCTAACCCGCTTTGATGAGTGTACGACTGGGAGGCTCTTCAACCACCTGCGACTCAGCAACCCGTATCGTTAACCAGTCTGCGCTGTCGTAGTTTAGAGGCTGTGTATCGCATGTTTAACTTGTTTTGTCTGATTTGGAACTTGGCCCATGGTAGAATTGACTACATTTCAAAGACTCGCTATAAGACTGCATCTAGTGAATTGTCGCGTATTTGGCACCTTTACATAGTAGCCCTGTTTTTCACTTGAACTTAACAACAATCGTGTTTGGGCTGTGAGGCTCATCGGAGTCTTTCACATCTGAGAGTGATTGCTTTGGCGTCTGCTCGGGAGCAGCCTCCGAGGCAGCCTCTGGAACTTTTCGCAAAAAGCTCTTCATATAGTCCTGCTGTTTCGGAAGGAACGGATCTTGCTGTTGGCCCGGAAGATCGAAAATGCTCTTCTTTGCCTTCCGGCGAGTGCGAACAGAGTGTGCTAGTCGTTGCTGTACCCATTCTATCACACTCTTTGCTTCTGTGCGGGCAAGCTTCATTCCCGAATCATTGATCTTTCGCCAGGTCCCCCTTAATCTTTGCGCAAGCTCGTCGATGTCGTGGTTGAACTGTTTCTCGTGTTCTGGATCATCAGAAGGTGCAAACGAACCGTCATCCACTGCAATGTTAAGGAGTAGGACATTGGCTTGTAGTTCCGCAAAATCCGTTTTCGGTCCGACAAAGAAATCGGTATGGTCCATTCTTTCTATGATTCCACGAATAGTGACTACATCGTCGGGATGGTGGCGGCCCAAAGATGGATCGTTGAATAGGAATACCACGGCCAGCCGTCGTCTCAATTCATGGGCTCTCGTCTTACTAACTGGCAGGCATGTCAAAGCATTCGTTCTGACGCATTGTGCCTTTACCAGAGTGTGCAGCAATGTACATGTCTCGAAGCACTATCAAAAGGTCAGTGGCGACTTCACGGGGCGGCTTCAGAGCACAACTCACAAAGGTGTCCCAGCTTAGCTGGGGTACAGCATCTAGGAGGGTATCTAGGGTGGCCTCGTAGGTGGTCAAAAGATTGAGGTCGTAGGTTAGGAACTTGTCGAGTGACATGCGCAGCAGCGCTTGTGATGCGTAGACGATAGACTCCTGGGCCATGTATGGTGATATGGCCGTGATGAGTGATAAGAAAGAACCCAGAGGTGACCAGTCGCGACCTTCATAAGGCTCGACGCCCGGCTTCGATAGATTCAGCATCGAATTACATTGCCCAAGCTCAGGGGAGGCACCGAAGCGATACAACAACTGCTCCAGTCGTTGAGGCGTGACACGTGACTCAATCAGATATGTGCAGTCGCTTATCAGGTTGCAGTATTCTTGCCTGACAAGAGCTGACTTTTGAGCGCAGATGTCATCTAAAATCCAGTCGAACAGCTCCTCCGGCAACCCCCCTTGTAGTTGAAGAAGTGTGAGTGGCACTCCAGATGCAAGATGTTGTTCGCGGGTTTTCTGATCGCCCTGAGTCAACAGCCTCCAAGGACCCTTGTTGAACTTTTTGGGGGCAGCGCTTGAAAGAGGCATGGCGTACTCTTCAGAGAAGAAGCAATATCGAAGTTGCGACTGGCCGGGCTCTGACCTCTTGACTGCTCGCATGACTTTCTGTGCATCTTGGCCGGTGCTGTTTTTGACAATACCCTCCATAATATCCTGTGACGTATCATCCGTCGTCTGCTGTCCGTCTGTTTGGTCATGCAGACTAGAGAAAGCTTTTGCTCTCATTGAGCTTGCCGTGATGGCATCGTCTTGTCGAGCATCCTTGGCCAGTGCCTTAAGGTCGAACTTGTGTTTGGATATTATGGCCAACGGAGATGCATGGAACTCGACCGCAGTTCTTTTGGCTTTTGGTGTACCAAATGGGTTACGAGCGGGAGATTGGGCTGTTTTCCCGGGGCGTGCTCGTCCAATAATAGTAGACAAGTCCTCGAGTGAATCGTCTGATGAGGATCCGAAGTCATCTTCATCATCCGAGGCTTGAATCTCACGTTGTTGCGTTGATGGAACAATCTTCTTCATGGGAGTGGTCGTTTTTTGTTCTAAGGGAGATGAAGGCGGACTTGGTGATGCGGGTTTGATGGGTTGCTGTGTTGGAGGTCTTGTCGTGGGCTTGAAGAAGCTCATGATATTTCCATTCTTAGTCTTCTGAGACATATCGCCTCTACCTGCATAACAAATAAAATATAACAATCAGATAAATGACTTCGAGGCTCCGGATCCGATGAAGTCACTCGTAGAAATAATAGCTAATAAAGTGCTTGTGAAGCAGTTGCAAGTGGATGTCAACCGCGTTAATTGGTTCAAGTTGAAGCGCGTTTTGGAGGTACAGGGTGGGAGCACTTCATGGCGCCTGCTGTCGATTAACGTTAGGTTCCATGTGTGGCTAAGGTGGCTGGCAGCATTTTAGTGCTGAATCAGAGGCCTTGTCTTATGACTGCTCGGTAGGTACTCTGTGGACCATATCAACTTAGTACCTACGCAGTACTGACTGATCAAGATCGTAAGAGGACTCATAACTATCAAAACCACCAAAGCTACATCTTTACCGTTTAGTTCAATTACAATCACTAAGTGCTAATCTACACTCTCATCCTACAGCGGCGCAATCCCTGACTGTGGCGCATTAAGGCCAAAGTACGGGATGCTAATTATGAACAAGTCTCGATTGACGGTCCCTCAGCCCCTTTCCCTGAAACTAGAATTTCCAGAAGAGTATCTTTTGGGTTATCGGCCTTCTAGTTTGCAGCATTGACCATGTGTCTATCAAGATACAGACGTAATGTTGTTGTTTTTAGCTCAAAAGTTCGTGCCCGAGATACGCGGCGTTCATGGGTCAAAGCCAAGGCAAATCCATCCAGTGAAGCCTCATTGTGTCATCCTGGGTATAGTACATAGGTAGCTAAGCTACTAGATTAATCTATCATGGACACTTGCGTGTTTCGTAGTCAAGAAAAGGGGTTGTGCGTTCTAATGCCAAATCTGCCGAAAACACATTGAGAGGGAGGATCGTCGCTTCATTCCATCGTCCTGTTCCTGAATTGCTGCACAAATCACCATGCAGCACAGCATTGCATATAATCAAGATTGGGGTTAAATCCTTGTGTTTGGCATGCGATCTGTCTCTGATCCCTGGAAATGCTTACGTGCGTCCATTGTCATGCTAATAATTGCTGTAACCTTGAATTGAATTGAATTGGATGTGGGCCATAGTCTAGGTAGGTAGGTACCTAGGTAGTCTAGTTGAACAGTAAAAGACATCCATTGGGAATGGAATACAGCAGAAGCAAGAGTTGGGTCAATCGATAGTCTACCGATAGCGATGAATTCTTTTAGTTTCTCTTTCTTTTAGTGATGGCGGTCTCAATTACCAATCCGGGGCTGACAAAGCCCGATCCATTGTTCCTCTACAGTTGTAAAAGGAACGCGCTGGATTGGGCTTTGATGGATCCATGAATCTTTAGACTAGGAAGTCCCTGAAAGTCCGAAAAATATTGGAGCAACGATGTCCATATTGCTGGTTCAGTGCCATCCAATGTTTTATGGCTGGCTTCAAGTCACGAGACATGTAAATGGAGTCTGTAGAAGCTCTTCTTCCGAGCTCTAGTCTACGGCATAACGTGTGTCACGTACAGTAGAGGTAGTTCAGTAGTTGCTTTATTGTAGATGTGCTTGTGAATCTTAACTCGTATCCCTGACATTTCTGTCCAGTCTGGAAATTTGGACCTGCAGATGGTAGGCTCAGGAGAGGAGACCCCTAACAAGGGTCCTCTAAAGTTGACGAAACAGGGAGACAGCAGGCAGTCGTGTTCCCGAGGCAGGGCAAGGGGGAACAATGGTGGCCGTTAATGTCCATGTACATGTGTAGTACCCGTGCCTAGTAGAGAATGAATACAGATATCCAAGATCTGTGTACAGCTTCATTCATGGGTACTGTCCTTCATGCACAAGGACATGTAGTCTTGAATGTAACGCTGCAAGAGCACAAAATGCTGCCTTTTGTGCATCCGAAAACTCTGCCAGAGGCTCGGAAATAGCACAGACTTTTGACTTGATCGAATTCAGCTTGGAGTCAGGCTGAATCATGAAACGTCGATATTAGTGCATTTCTATAACCCGCTATCCATGGATTCATGGAAGTGGGACCGTAGTCTATCGCCGTCAGAGGCCATTTACAGTATACAGCAATGTACCGGCGTCGCCGCTTCTGGGCCGGATAATATTGAGTCAATGTGATTAAGAACCTATGCTATTTACAATCGTCCCCGCTGCATTCATCTTTGTAAGCTTCGTTGATGGATCATGATGCAGACGGGAGCATGTTCAATCTAATAAGCGCGGTAGAAAAAGGATGTGGCGCTTCCCTCGCTCGTAATTAAACTCCGTGAGTCCGATCCGACAGCACGGAGGTAGCTTCTTTGTATCCAACGTCTGGATATCCAATAACGGGATCTACGGAGCCCGAGAAAAATGGAAGCATCATGTTTTGCATCCGAGAAAGGAAGGCGTTCGTGATACCCCAGGATCATCTATAGGACTGCCATGCCAAGAGAGCACCAGAAGAAGCCGAGAACATCGAATTGAGTAGGAACGAAAAGGACAGAGCGGACATTAGACTAATTGACTGTCGAATATCCATCCATAGCTACGGGTACTTGCTGCGTACGCGGAGCTTGCAGCACAGTATAGTTGCCCAAGGTTACGTCGTCTCACTCAATGAGGTAACCGCGCGAAGATCTGGATAAAGGCTTGTTGTTACTCTATGTACGAGGCTATTGAAATCACCCGAGGACCAACGCAGACATGGACAGATGCTGAGGATGCATTATCACTTCTACAGCCATGTCGTGGAAGGCCAAGAACCTTAAAGAGGAGGGAGACCTCGATTGCCTCCATACCTAGACTACCTACTATCTAGTATAGTAGGCAGTCTCAGATCGAATTTAAGTTACAGTGTCGACAAAGGACGGGACGATACCGGATCTTGATGCCGCCAAGCGACTGAAACCCATAAAGATCATCACGCAAGGTCGAAAAGAACAAAAAGAGTGGAGGATCCCGTCTCGAAACACTGTCAACTACCAACTGGTGTGGCCTCCGTCCCCTGATCCTCGTCAGGAAATTTGCGCAGTCACCGCTCATAAATTAGCTACATACGTATATGCAGACGGGTACAGATACAGATACAGATACAGATACTAGCTGCACAGAGTATCCCGTGTTGTAGAAAGACAAACTCCGCCTACCGTCGAGCTACCGCAACACCGCAAAATGTAGGTAACGGTTGTCCTCGCTTACCGACGCGGTGAAGATGAGGACTCTCCTCGAAACACCGCCCCTTCTGGCTTACTTGACCACGGGACGTGATACAATGCGAAGAGCAGCCGTGACGGCGATGACAACAACCGCAGACTCTGACTCTTGCGGACTGACGTTGGCTTATTAACTGCTTTTCAAGAGTCAAAACTCACCCTCACCTGCGTATTAATTGACATGTATGTTTGGTGTGGTAATGACAACGGCCCGCCCGGACGAGCGAAATGCCCGTAAGCGGAGTCGATAGACGGGGGCAACGGAGCTAGAATCGCTAACTCCTACCTTTGGCCCCGAGATTTCCATTTTCTGTGTTGGATATCTGCATTGAAAGACTGGGAATAATCACTTGTACGGTACGGATACACCCTTCGCAGAAAAACAAGCAACAGGTAACTCAGGGACAATCTTGACAAGCTCCTTGGCAAATTTAGACGCGTCCTATTGTAGGCTTCCCCCTTTGCAAGGGGTAGATTGATGCTTCAAGGGGCCAGCAAATGCCAGCCGGAGGCATATGCAGCACCATAGCGTGAGAGGTTGAAGTTGACGGCAAAGCTCTGGAAGGACCGAATTTTCGTTTGACGCTGTAATGATAGTGACTCTCAGCGTGATGCGAATATATTGACCATATCGTTTCTGATCAATATGGGATCTTGTTGTGGTCTTGTTAAGGTACCTCGAATATGACAGATCCCTGGACGACGAGGTTCCATTGCAGCTTCTCGTCTTCTCCAATTGGACGTAAGACGTTCACTTGCTCAAGTTAGCGTCGGGGATCTGTAGCGGCCGCCAATGCCGTAGCAGACACCCGAGGGTCAGGGAGACAGACACCTATGCGTGTTGTTCCCAGGGCTGAGTTATGGTCTGCTTAAAGCTGACCCGACCATCTTCATGTTTACACGATGATTGCATGTGCTGACAAAAACAGTAAATAGAGGGGAGAAAGAATCTAAGATAAACTCGAGTTAGATCCGTGGCGTTGACGTTTAGTGGACACAACCGCCGTGAGAAGGTTGCCTGTCCATGGTATTTGGCCGTTACCTCGCCGCAGAGGACGGTACAATACATCACTATCACTGTCAGTACTGATGCTGATACCCAGCGAGTCGTATCCTCTCTAGTGTGTTGGGGTTCAGATGAAGATAGCAGTAATTGTTGTGTCAGGATGGACGAACAATGGCACTGAGCGGTGTTCCAGTACGGTCTTGTCTATCCTTTAAATCAGTGGGAGCCCGGTACAGTAAGCATGACTGCGAGACAGTCCGCTCATCGCAAAGGCAACATGGAAGTCACTAACCATTTTGTGCCTATGCAGGGCCTAAAGCATAAGTGAGGTAAGGTAAGGCAGCCCGTCGCCTGGAAGAAGATTGACAGGGTATAGTAGATACTTAAGGGGTACATTCCGGGCAAAGCAGATGAGTGCGTCGGATGGGTCGGGATCACGACAACCCACGCACGCACGCCCACCCACCACAAGCTTAGGTGCTGCTCGCCCCACGCCCCCGACACCCTCTCTCCACTGCCCATTTCCCCTTCAACAACGCTCTCCAGCGAGTCTCAGTGGTCCCAGTGCGTGTCTGGAGCGGGTACCACCCAGAATTGGTCTCTTCCCATTGCTAGAGTCTCAGACTTTTTGGGTGGCTGCTCACTCTAACTGGCTGACGGGGTGCAGTCTTGTCCAAAGTCCACCGTAGCTTTTTTCTTCCCTTTCTTGCCTTGCCTTGCCTCGCCGCCCCGTTCTTTCCATAGTGACCCATCCATTGCTTACACAATTCCCCTTGTACCGTACTTCCAGCCATCCAGACTTCTCTCGTCACCATCAACAACTTTACCCTACTCTCCACGTTCTCGTTTCACTCCCCTTCTACCATCGTCTTGACGACTTCCCAACGGCCCTGGCGACGCCGTTTACTTCAATAAAATAATCCACGCAGTCGTCGCCATTAATAGACTTTTTGACTGACGAGCAGCTGGTGTTGCTTCAATTGCACCTGCTCCATTCTCTTCGACACTGCCTTGTGCCATACAACAACACACCGTGCCGTTTTTGACCAGACGTATTCCGCCGCGCTCGACTCCGTCCCACTCATCTCTCTCAACCTGGCTGGCATCGAGGGGCCGATCGGGCGCTTGCCCGCGACTTCATCATGACCACAACAACAACCGCCGACGGTCATCTCGCCCCCGACGATTCTCAGCATCTGAGTGCTACTCAACGATCGCGTTGGGCCACCCAAAGAAAAAGCGTCAATAGCAGCAGTAACAGGCGCAATTCTATTCTCGATCGCATGGGACACAAGAAGACAGGCTCCAATGAAAAGAATCCCCCTTCTGACGGTTCCGACCCTCCCGGTGACGATGGACAACGACCGCAAGCGAATCCCGACAACCAGAACGGTGGTGAGGAGGAAGAGGAACACGAGAACCGGATGTTGTTCTTCAACCAACCCCTACCGAACGAATTTCTAGATGAGAACGGTGCACCCAACCAATCTTTCATCAGAAACAAGATTCGAACAGCCAAATACACCCCTCTGTCGTTTGTCCCCAAGAATTTGTGGTTCCAATTCCATAACGTTGCAAACATCTTTTTCTTGTTCTTGGTTATCCTGGTTGTAAGTTGACCGTTGCCTCTAAACTCTCTCATAGTCTCGTGAATAACCTTTGACCTTGTGTATAGATCTTCCCAATCTTTGGTGGAGTTAACCCAGGTCTCAACGCTGTGCCTTTGATCTTTATTATCGCAGTCACAGCTATCAAGGATGCCATCGAAGATTACCGACGAACTGTTCTCGATATTGAGCTCAACAATGCCCCCGTTCACCGACTACGAAATTGGAACAATGTTAATGTTCTGGAGGGCGACGTATCCCTTTGGCGTCAGTTCAAGAAGGCAACTTCCAAATTCTTCGGTGCAATCTGGCGTGCGACTCAATCGCTCTGGTCCAAGAAGGCAAAAGAAGAGAGGGCGAAGCGCAAGGCAGGGCCAAGCGAGGATGATGCTCCACGTCCCTCAGTTGAGACGCATCGAACTAGGCAGTCTATGCGTCAGTCTATGGCGTCGCCTTTCTCCGGACGAGAGTCCTTTATGTCTGCCCGAGAGGATATCCAGATGACCCCTGTTCCATCACCATCACCCCAGGCTACGCCACACGCCCATTTTGAGATGCCCGACCAGCAAGATGCTAAGCGCGCAGCTGCTCTGATGCAGATGAAATCGGATATCGTCAACTATCACCATCCTGCCGCGGGTGCTCGCTTCCAGAAGGACACATGGAAGAGTCTCAATGTTGGCGATTTTGTCCGCATTTATAACGACGAAGAACTTCCCGCCGACGTCATTATCCTCTCAACTTCTGATCCTGACGGAGCTTGTTACGTTGAAACCAAGAACCTGGATGGTGAAACTAACCTCAAGGTTCGCCAGGCTGTGCGTTGCGGCCGATCGCTCAAACATGCCAGAGATTGTGAGCGTGCCGAGTTCGTGGTTGAGAGTGAGGGTCCCCAGCCAAATCTTTACAAGTACAATGGCGCCATTAAATGGAAGCAACACGTACCCGGATACCTAGACGACGAACCCGAGGACATGACCGAACCTATCACCATTGATAACCTTCTTCTGCGTGGCTGCAACCTCCGAAATACCGAATGGATCGTTGGCGTAGTCGTTTATACAGGGCACGACACCAAAATCATGATGAATGCCGGTATCACTCCTAGTAAGCGCCCTCGTATTGCGAGGGAGATGAACTTCAACGTTGTTTGCAATTTTGGTATCCTCCTCATCATGTGTTTGCTCGCTGCTATCATAAATGGCGTTGCTTGGGCGAAGACCGATGCTTCCCTTCATTTTTTCGAGTATGGATCTATCGGTGGGAAGCCGGCAATGAGTGGTTTCATCACATTTTGGGCTGCCATCATTCTTTTCCAGAATTTGGTTCCCATTTCACTCTACATCACGCTAGAAATTGTTCGTACCTTGCAGGCTGTCTTCATCTACAACGACGTGGATATGTACTATGAACCTATCGATCAACCATGCATTCCCAAGTCTTGGAACATCTCGGATGATGTTGGTCAAATCGAGTACATTTTCTCTGATAAGACTGGTACCTTGACACAGAACGTCATGGAATTCAAGAAAGCGACTATCAATGGACAACCATACGGCGAGGCTTATACGGAAGCCCAAGCTGGAATGCAAAAGCGACTTGGTATCGATGTCGAGAAGGAAGGCAGGCGGGTTCGTGCTGAGATTGCTGACGCGAAGGTTCGTGCTCTAGCCGGTCTCCGTGGTATTCATAACAATCCGTTCCTCCACGACGATGCTTTGACATTCATTGCCCCTGACTTTGTCTCCGACCTGGCTGGCGAGTCGGGCCCCGAACAAAAAGACGCCAACGAGTTTTTCATGCTTGCACTAGCTCTCTGTCATACAGTCATGGCTGAGAAGGTAGATGGCGACTCTCCCAAGATGATATTCAAAGCGCAATCTCCCGACGAAGAAGCTCTGGTCGCTACTGCCCGTGACATGGGCTTTACTGTCCTTGGAAGCTCTGGTGAAGGCATCAACCTTAACGTGATGGGCGAGGACCGACATTATCAGATTCTGAACACCATCGAGTTCAATTCTAGTCGAAAGCGAATGAGTTCGATCGTGCGGATGCCGGATGGACGAATTATTCTCTTCTGCAAGGGTGCCGACAGTATTATTTATTCCCGCCTCAAACGTGGAGAGCAGAAAGAGCTCAGAAAGAACACCGCGGAGCATCTTGAAATGTTTGCTCGTGAGGGTCTTCGAACACTCTGTATTGCCTACAAGGAAGTTTCAGAGCAAGACTACCGAGCTTGGAAGAAGGAGCATGACGCCGCCGCCTCCGCCCTAGAGGAACGGGAGGAGAAGCTGGAGACTGTTGCCGAGCTGATTGAACAAGATCTATACCTTGTTGGCGGTACAGCTATTGAAGATCGGTTACAAGACGGAGTTCCTGACACCATTGCTCTCTTGGGTAATGCCGGCATCAAGCTTTGGGTTCTTACCGGTGACAAAGTTGAGACTGCTATCAATATCGGTTTCTCATGCAATCTCCTCAACAACGATATGGAGTTGATTCATCTGAAGGTCGACGAGGACGAGTCCGGAGAAATTGCTGACGAGACTTTCTTCGAAATGGCAGAAAAACTTCTCGACGACAATCTTCAAATCTTTGGCATTACCGGTAGCGACCATGATCTTGCCCTCGCGAAGAAGAACCACGAACCTCCGGCTCCCACTCACGGACTGGTCATTGATGGTTTCACTCTTCGATGGGTTCTCAATGATCGACTGAAACAGAAATTTCTCCTGTTATGCAAGCAGTGCAAATCGGTCCTCTGCTGCCGTGTTAGTCCTGCCCAAAAAGCTGCTGTGGTAGCCATGGTCAAAAACGGCCTTGATGTCATGACCCTCTCTATTGGAGACGGTGCCAATGATGTTGCTATGATTCAAGAAGCCGATGTTGGAGTCGGTATTGCTGGTGTCGAAGGTCGTCAGGCTGCCATGTCTTCTGACTACGCAATCGCTCAGTTTCGCTTCCTATCAAGATTGGTGCTCGTACACGGCCGATGGTCTTATCGCCGCTTGGCCGAGAGTATTAGCAACTTCTTCTACAAAAACATGGTGTGGACCTTCGGAATCTTTTGGTATGAGATCTACTGCGACATGGACATAACATATCTCTTCGATTATACATACATCCTTATGTTCAATCTCTTCTTCACATCAATTCCTGTCGCTATTATGGGTGTACTGGATCAGGACGTGTCTGATAAGGTATCCTTGGCTGTTCCTCAGCTCTACCGACGTGGCATCGAGCGACTAGAGTGGACCCAACTCAAATTCTGGTAAGTAACATTTCACTGATATTGCTATTCTGTGCTAATAAGGCAAAGGCTTTACATGATCGACGGAGTTTATCAGTCTATTATGGTCTTTTTCGTCCCCTACCTTCTCTTCATGCCTGGTACCTTTTTGACTGCCAATGGCCTTGGCTTGGAGGATCGCCTCCGTTTCGGTGCCTATATTGCGCACCCGGCCGTTATTACCATCAACATGTACATCCTGATCAATACCTACCGGTGGGATTGGCTCATGGTGCTCATCGTCGTCATCTCGGACGTATTCATTTTCTTCTGGACCGGTGTCTACACTTCTTTTACCAGTTCGGCATTCTTCTATGGTACCGCCGCCCAAGTTTATGGAGAGGCCACCTTCTGGGCATGTTTCTTCCTAGTGCCTGTCATTTGTCTCTTCCCACGTTTCGCTATCAAGGCTCTACAGAAAGTTTACTGGCCCTACGATGTGGATATCATTCGTGAGCAGGAGAGGATGGGCAAGTTTGCTCACCTCTATCAGACAGAAGAGACAGGCGACCCTCTTACCGCTGACACGAAGAGCGACAAGTCCAAGTCTTCCAAGAGCTCAAGGAAGTCCAAGAAGATGCCGAAGCATGTTGCTTACGGCAGTGTCGATGAGGATCTACGACCGATCTACCCCCCCTCAACAGCCACGAGAACGACGACATATAACCAGCACAGCCAAAATGGTAGTGACTCGACTAATTATACGGCGCACAGGATCTCGCTGGATGTACCTATGCAGGGTCGCCCTTCCATTGATCGTGCCCGGCCTTCCTACGATCGAATGCGGGCCTCGATGGACCGTGTCAGGCCCAGCTTCGAGGCTAGCAACGACTTCACGTCAGCAGCACGGTTATCGCGAATCGAATCGAGTCAATCACAAGTAGGACGTTTTCGTCCTCGCCTCAGAGGACTCTCGCTAACCAAGAGTGCCAACATATGAGAGGCGGGTTGTGGTTGCCACTACTTGATTCTTCCTGTCCTGCCCTCACCTCGCTGACAACACGGACCTGTTTTCTTGTTTTGGAGCTTTGTTTCTCTCCGCTTTTCGTTACTTTTGATATCCAGGCCTTTTCCAGTGGCCAGTGATGCACTTATGATCTGCATGAGCGATCTACGAGCTGTTCCCTCTCGTCTTTGTTCGTATGCTCATACACTGAAGCACGCAATAGAGGCAACGAGATCGGACCAGCTCTTTATTTTATTTTTATTTTACTGTCCTCCCACACTTTGCCTGGGAGGTTTGCTTTACATACGCAGGGCGTTATAAAGGGGCAACGCAAAAGGGGGGTTTGTTTTTCTGTATGAATTGTTTTTGGTGACTCCTGGTACTATCACTTTTTAGTCTTATTTTCTCCCCCAAAGTTTTCCTTCTACACTTTTCTTTTGCATCTTTAGAGCTGGAGAGCAGCAGCAAGCCCATTCCCTGACGAAGACTATTTCATTATTGCGCAATCAGAGTTGAGAGAGAAAGAAGAAGAGGACAGCGAGCAAGCGAGCCAGCGAGCGAGATAAGGATTGGGAAAGAGGAGATATTCAAACCAGAAAGAGAGAAAGAGTGGGAGACAGGATGCTCGTGGTAGTAGATAAGCAGCGGTTATATAATCAGGTTGTCCTTTATTCTGGAAACCAGACACGAAAATCAATAAGATGATATGCAATACAATTGCTGGACTTCAAATAACGACTGCGAGTGACTTGTTTAAATATGATGATGCTCCACCAACACTCGCTTTGTACGTACGAATGGTTCGATTTAGTAGTAGATACCTACTAGTAAGTTAGTAGTGGGTTTGGGCGAGTACGAATACGCTACCGGCATCGGTCAAGGCTTGGCAGGAACAAGTGTACAGAGTACTACCTGCCCTTAGGTACGTACCTGCCGATCACATCTAACTGGCCTGGGGTGTCAGAAAAGTTGACCGGTAAAGTATAAGAGACGAAATAGTGTAGTCACGTTATGTGGCTATAGAGTGGCGCTTAGACTACTTTATTCTGACGCCCCAAGCCTCATAGGACCATTTGTTTATTACCGTAGAACCGCAACTTAATTAACTTCACTCCCACTTTAAATCGTTCCGACTCGCATGAGCTCCAGCCGTCGCATGATATAAAGGGGCCTCTCAATTCTTTGGGTCAAAGATCTTCTTACCTTTTGGCAAACAGAATCGATCATGTCTGCACCTGCAATGGAGGCCCAAGAGCCTCTGCTCCTTGCCCTTTGGCGGCGATGCAGTGAAGTGGCGGCAGAGCATAACATCTCGTATGTTTTATCTCTTCAGCCATTGAATACGACCAACAAGCTAACACACCCCCTTAGACAATCTACCCTCTCTGCCGCTGGCACAGTTGTTGCTATCATCGCCGCTACCTTGATTCTTCGCATCACCAACGCCATTGCTGCAGCTTCCGTTTCAGCAGCCACCAGCCGTGCACGCAAGTACACCGTTCACTCACCCAAGGTCCCCGAGCCGTACACCACCGTCGATATCCCCTCTGTCAAGGTCTCTGGTAGCTCCGCAGTTCAATGTTATGCTCCAGCTACTGGTCAGTTCTTAGGACACATCAACCCTTCTACACCCGCAGCCATCGATCGCGCAGTTTCTGCTGCTGCGACTGCGCAGAAGAAATGGGCTGAGGCTACATTTGACGAGCGCCGTGCCGTATTGCAGTCGCTATTACAGCATGTCCTCGACAATGCCGAGGAAATTGTCAAGATTGCTTGTCTCGACAGTGGAAAAACTATGGTGGATGCCCAGCTTGGAGAAATTCTCGTTACAGCCGAGAAGCTTAAGTGGACGCTATCCCATGGCGAACAGGCGCTGCGCCCTTCGCGCCGTCCTACCAACTTCCTCATGATGTACAAGCGTAATACAGTTCACTACGAGCCTCTTGGTGTTGTTGCTGCCCTGGTCAGCTGGAATTACCCTTTCCACAATTTCATTGGTCCCGTTATCAGTGCTCTCTTCGCCGGCAACGGTATTCTCGTCAAAGTTTCTGAGCAGACGGCTTGGTCCAGTCAGTATTTTACCAATATTGCTCGCGGCGCTCTCATTGCTCACGGACATGATCCTCAACTTGTCCAAACCATCGTCTGCTGGCCCCAGGCTGCTGGCCACCTCACTTCCCACCCTGGCATCAGCCACATCACATTTATAGGATCGCAATCTGTTGCTCACCATGTCGCTGCTAGCGCAGCTAAGAGCCTTACTCCTGTTGTTGCCGAACTCGGCGGCAAGGACCCCTTTATTGTTCTGGACTCCGCATCTCGCGATCTCAAGCGTATCGCTGAAGTTATTCTTCGCGGAACCTTCCAAGCCGCTGGTCAGAACTGCATCGGTATCGAGCGAGTCATTGCTCCTAGTGCTATCCACGACAAGCTTGTCGAAATACTTTCTCCCCGTGTCAACGCTTTGCGACTAGGCCCCGATGTAGATATGGGTGCCATGATCTCAGATGCCTCATTTGACCGCCTTGAGGAACTCATTGCCGAAGCTGTTTCTCAAGGTGCCCGTCTGCTCGCTGGCGGCAAGCGTTACAACCACCCTGAATACCCCAATGGCCACTACTTCCAGCCGACTTTCCTCGCCGACGTCACCCCTGATATGCGCATCGCACAAAACGAGTGCTTCGCTCCTGTTCTTACCCTTCTCCGTGCAAACTCGTCCTCCCCTGAAGATATACTCTCTATCGCCAACGCACCCAACTTTGGCCTTGGTGCCTCCGTCCACGGCTCTGAGCGTGATCCCAGCCTTCAACCTATCGTTAAGGGACTTCGCGCTGGTATGGTCGCTGTCAACGACTTTGCAGTCTACTATGCTGTCCAGCTGCCTTTTGGCGGCGTCGGCGGTTCTGGTTATGGTCGCTTCGCAGGCGAAGAAGGCCTACGAGGACTTTGCAATGCAAAAGCTGTCTGTGAGGACCGCTTTGGTTGGTTGGGCATACGCACCGGCATCCCACCACCAGTGCAGTATCCCATCAAGAGCCAACCTGACAGTTGGAAGTTTACCCACGGCGTTGTTGAACTTGGCTATGGCGCCCCTATTAGGAAGCTCAAAGGCCTTGGCAAGATCCTGCAGAACATGTGAGCTGGCGGGCTGTGACAGACGCCAGAAGAGATATAGGAATTAAGGCAAGAGTACTGCATAAGCAAGTCGGGTTGAATTTTAAAAACATATTTGATCATGACTCTGTTAATCAAAGGATGAAATATTCTCATGAGTGATGAGTAGAAATGAATTGACACAGTCTTACCACACACCAACCTTTGCCCTATATACGCTCCCAATACCTTCGCAGAAGTCGAGTTTTCATCACACCTTGCCGATCAGGTGAGTAACAGAAGAATTGTCTTGTAAGACTTAGGCTACGATGATAAAGTAGCCTAAATGCTTATCGAAGCTAGCAATAAGACGACCAAATTATTTCGTCTCTTATGCTCTGTAGCCAATTCTATGGGCAGCTATGTTCTTTACTTCATCGTGATATGGATGGTATGCCGAATTCACAGGGAGCGTTCGAGTACAAGTCTGCCTTTCATGAAGATCTTGGCTATCTATTAAACTAGGCGAATTGAGATAGTCAGATCTGTTCTTGAACCTCCCTTGTTACTCTCCTTTGCCCTTGCCCTGCTCCAATATCTCGCGGCTGATGACTGACAACCACCCACTCAGCTCTGCGGCTGTAGGTGGACTCACCACGCATCGGCGGCAACAGTGGCAGCGTGGGACTTTTCACCAGTCCCCCAGGTATCCTCGCCAGCAGCGTTGGCACCGTTACCGGTACCCCAGGCATCACCGCCAGCACCAGTACCGGCGCCATCATCTCCACCACCCCAAGCAGTACCAGCATCGGCTCCATCGGCTCCATCCCCTCCCCAAGCTTCGCCAGCATCGCCAGCATCGCCAGCATCGCCAGCCCCAGCGTAGTCGTTAGGGTCGAAGTCTGAGTCGGCTTCAAATTTCAGGTTGGCACGTGCGTCGCCTTCTGGAACATACTGCTGCAGAAAATCAGGGATTTCCTGATTAGTCTCAAGGAGAGTGCGGGTAAGAACACTGCCAAGTGGTTCGTCTCGCTCAGAAAAGAAAGAGGTGGCTATGCCACGGTGCCCGATACGACCAGTTCGCCCTGAGTTATATGTTAGTGAATGGCAAATTGTGAAGGGAAATGATCGTACCAATGCGATGGGTATACTCCTCGATACCACCATACTCAAGAGAGGGAAGATCATAGTTGATCACGTGCCTAACGTTCTGGACGTCGATGCCACGGGCAGTAACTCCGGTAGCGATCAGAATGGGTGCGTTGCCCGACCGGAAGGCACGCATAGCGGCCTCACGCTCCTTCTGGGTGCGGTCACTATGCATGGACGTGACAGGCAGATGCATGTTGAAGAGAAAATCATCGAGGTTGTCAGCGGCCTGACGGCTGTTGACGAAGATGATCGTACGGATGCCATGCATCTCCTCGAGCAAGCCTACCAAAAGCTCTCGCTTCTCATGAGACTCGGCCTGAAGGACGACCTGTCTAATGTTGGCACTCGTGCTACCAGCACGACCAACACGGAAGCGGACGTGGGACGCAGCCAGGTAGGTCTTCGCGAGATCGCGCGCGGGCTTAGGAAATGTAGCCGAGAACAAGCTGAATTTGACATTGCCCTCGTCCTGCTCTATGATGATTGTTAGCAAGGGTGCTAGCTTGTTTGTGTCAGGCTCACTTACCGCCGCCAGACAGGATGGGGTTGAGCTCTTCAGCCCAATCGTCGTTCAGGAGTTCATCGGCCTCATCGATCACCATGTATCGCAGGCGACGAAGAGTCAGAACACGGGGACGTTGAATGAAATCAACGAGACGCCCAGGGGTTCCGACGAGAACGTCACAGCCCATTTGGAGTAGAGAAACCTGATGGCTGATAGGTACGCCACCGTACACAACGCCAGGTCGCAGCATGGTGCGATAACAAAGTTTTCGCGCCTCGTTGAAAATCTGCAGGGCAAGTTCGCGAGTTGGCACAACGATCAGAACCAGAGGCTCTGCGGTCACCTCGTCAACACCCTCACGGAAAGTGTGTGGGTTGGGTCGGAACGCCGCGAGCTTCTTGGCCTTGCCCATGAGCTTGCTCAGGATTGGAATCAGATAAGCCGCGGTCTTGCCAGATCCTGAGACTAAGTTAGCGATATTCGATGAATATTTCAACTGGCCTACCTGTCTGAGCGATTCCGATAACGTCATGCCCCTGAAGGATGGAGGGGATTGTGAACTTCTGGATTGGAGTTGGGTTGTCGTAACCGCAAAGTTCAACATTCTCCAACATGGCGGGATGAATGCCGGCAGTCTTGAAGCCCTCAATAGGGTCGATCTTGGTCGGGCCCTCTTGCTGGACCTCGATGCTGGCAATTCTGTGGAAAGGTTAGCCCTAGTAAGAAACCATAGGGTGAAGCAACTCACTGAGAAAAGTCAACACCCTTTCGATCATGGCGGGTCGAAGGATCTCCGAAAAGCTCAAGTTCAAGCTCAGGGTACTTGGGACCAACTTCACCATACTCATCCTTCCAGTCATAGGTACGGGCGGTGCAGCCCCAAGTCTGGGCATCATCGCTAGTGGCCATAGAAGTGTAGTCAATGGCTTCGGGCTCAGTCCACCGTCCACGGGACGCATCGTAACCCTTGGGGGGCCCGGGCTGAGCGTCGCCATTCTGGACCTGGGTGTTTTCTGTGCCGTTGGGAAAAGCACCGGCCTCAGCAGCAGAGGGGAGTGCCTCGGCCATAGGACCTGTTCCCCATGCGTCTGACATCGTGACTGAAACTGTAACTCCGATGGTTAGACAATCCACTGGAGTCACATGCAGAGAAGCAAGCGAGAATGGATATTGGAGATGGAGAAAACTTACTTCGAGAATTGATTCTGGGAGAAGAAAGCGGAGTTTTCGATGCGGTTCCTTTGCAAGATGGAAATGCAGACAATGCGCTACAGGGACAAGGGTCAACAAACTCTAGCCTCGAGAACGGAAATGAAGGAGAGAAGTCGACAAACAAGTCCAAGGCCGAGAGGCAAGTGTGGGAGTATGAGATGGCTACCCAGGCAAGGGCAGGGCGGAAGGAAGCTGGCGAAAGAAACGTACCTGAAAAGAGCTCTCCAATGGAACAGATGATCGATACAGATCACGCTGCTATACTCCTTCGGAAGTAGAAAGAGAAGAAACGACTTCTTGATCGGCTCAAAGAAGATGAGGTAGAGTAAGATGAGACACAGGATAAAGATTGAAGTGTGTATGTGTGTGGAGGAGAGAGAGAAAGAACGAGAGGGGGGAGGAAAGGGAAGTATTTATGCTGTTGCCTGGTGATGCACTTCTCAGCTTGTCAGTGATTCACTGCAGGAGTAAGAAAGGAAAGAAGAAAGGGGAAAGAAATGGAAGGAAGCCGCTGTTTGCTAGTCAAGGCAGGTGCCCGTGCCGCGTTTGCAGTGATGTGCAGGTGCCTGCCACTGGCAGAAATCTTGAGAAGTCTTAAGCAACGGCGGAGGGTGATGGGTACCTGCCTTAGTACCTAACAATGCGGCTAGCTGCCCGAGAAAGGAAAGGAATCCTCGGTGGGTAGTCAATCTGCTTGAGGAAGGAATTGCTCAAGGGTTGCTATTTGGTGGAAGCGGAATTTGGGTAGAACAATAAGATTGCTGTTGTGAATCGAGAGAATAACCAAGGAGAACTTCACCGCAGGCTGCCCCCCTCCGTTTCCTGTCAATCTATTTCACTAAAAAGTGCTAGTTATTATACGCTTGCATCATTCACTGCGAGTTGTACTTAATCGTATTGTTATTAGATACTACTAGATAGGATAAACGCCCAACTCCGGTTTACCAAGCTTGACACTGGGGATAGCAACCTACCTAGACACAATGCACTATCTTGTACTGATTTCAGTCATTGATCTTGTAGCATGATTGCATTGACTACTCGGCAGAACAGTCCCGACTTCAGTACAACTTGCTTAAGGTTTATCTGCCTTGATATGTGTTAGGTGTTAAATGTGTGCTGTGTGTTGAGAAGCGAAATAAATTCAACATTGGATTTTATAACATCAAAATCAGCACTTAAGCTAGGTACTTTCTTTTGACGAGAGGACAATGTTTCTGCTACCCGGGTAGTAGCCCATCTTCCAATTGATAACAAAACAATCAAGGTATTGCTACCGTAGGTATCTGTCTACCTTAAGTATTTGGGATATTTGAAAATCATTCAAGGGCCTATGTCAGATATGAGCAACCAATTTAGGGGAACCGAGAGAGAAAAGCAAACTTGGAATGTGTCACGCCCAGCCATAGAGAGGGTATTCGGCAACCCACAGGCATATCTAGAGATTATTGGGTGCGCTTAAGCCAGTAAATGTCATTAGAAAATCTAGTAAGCCTTTCACCAGAGGCTCAAGAGATCCTGGGTATCCATTGCCGTTGAACTCTCGTATTCGCCCATGCCATTCTGAAGCACTTGGTCAAGGCCTGCTGCCGCTCGACCGGTAGCGCCACCTTCTTTCTTTGCTTGATCCGTGCCCTTCAAGACTGCCTCTAGGAATCTTCGCTCGAAAACTCGTTGTCTCGCGTCGCGGCCAGGATACATTTCTCCTTCTTCATCTCGTCTAGTGCCGTATAGGTTGAGATGCTCGAAAGCATTTGAATCCTGTGGTATTCTGTACAAGCTGTCCCATATCTCTGACTCATCATCGGGAATTTCAGCTTCCGGTCGAAGGCCAGCCTCTATGAATCGTGATAGTGTGGTGATTTGGCGAGCGTATGTTGAAGCATCCTTGGCGCGCAGACCAGATTTCGCGCCAGAGGACCATCCGGCTTTTGAAGTTGTCAATGCCCATCCCATCATGGCACAGAAACTATTCAAGGTCTTCACCCAGCCACCGGGACACACAATCAAGTCGCTTTCTGCAACATCGAGAAGCCATTCCATTACACCCAGTGAGTCGTTGCTAATGTCTGCTGAAAGATGAGTCATGCCTGCACGAATGAACATGATGGCCTGTTCCACGCTATGTCTGACCTCGTCAGATGGGAGTTCTTTGAAAAGTTTGAGAAGCTGACTTCGAACTGGCGTTGAGCTATCCGATATCAAAGGGAGCAACTTGACAAGCACTGCATGTGTTCCTACAGGGTTGATAGGAGGTTCCGAAGAAAGTTGAGAAGTCAGATAGGCCAATGCTTCCCTCCTTTGTTTGTCCGATTTGGAAGAAGAAGCGAGTGACAGATTATGCTTGAATTGTTGAACGACATCGGGTGCGACTGTTGACAGTGACTGGTGTCCCATCACAATCGCTATGATGGTTAGTTATTGAGAGGTATAGACGATGAGATTTGGTTTACCTTTTGACTTGAAACTCGTGTCTGTAAAATTTGAAGCTTTCGGTTTATCCTTTCCAACCTTGAACTTGGGTTTCTATATCATATTTGTGAGTTCATGTTCCCATAAGACAGTGAGGGTCGATGCCATACTTGGAAGTCCTTCTGCTTCTCTCGCTTCTTCTTGTTGCTGGAACCCATGATGACGATTTAGTTGTGGATAGAAATTCGATAGGGTGATAAATTTTCAGTGATGTCTGACGACTTCAGTCCTGGTACTGAGATGCAGTTTGTATACTCCGTACTGAGATTTAGATTCTTCGATCATTAACTGATAAGATCTACTTTCCTGAATGGGTTTCTGAAATTTTAGCGGTGTCGGGTGGCAGAATGTACAATCTGCCCCGCGACGTCCCTCGGTCCTCTATCTAACCACGCCAGGAGCTGATAAGCCAGGTCTATCAAAGTAGCGCGCGCACCCAATAACATATTCGAAATGTCGGACTCGGCGCTGGTAAGTTAACTTGCAGCTTTTCGAGGGTTAATCCGACTTACGAGTTTCCAGGCCAACGGACATGATGCATTAGAGGAGAAGCTCGGTCGCTTGTCGAAGAAGCCTGGCGTTAAAGCCAGCATCGTCCTCGATCGCGCTACAGGCGCGATCCTCAAAACCAGTGGACAGGTCGACGCTCTTCAAACATCGAAGTCTCGGACTACATCCACGGCCACAACATTTTCCAATGACACCCCAGCGTTAGAGGAAAGCGAAACCCGAGGCGTCGAGCAGTTCGCAGCGATCGTCTGGAATTATGTGAATAGCTCCGGCAACTTGGTCCAGGAGTTGGATGGCGAGGTAAGGACAATCCCTGGCATTATGGATGTTCAGAGCTGATACTCGATAGGATGAGTTGAAGCTACTACGGTTACGGACACGGAAACAGGAGTTGGTCATTGTACCCGACCCAAAATACCTGCTTGTCGTTGTGCATGACACACCGCCAGCCTGAGCTTCGAAAACATGGCCATCACGGTTTTACAATGTTTCAGCAGAATAGGATTTTCCGCTCCCTAGTTTCTGCTGAAGGATTGAGGGAAGGATTTCCTTGTATCGAGGAACATGTTTGTTTCACTGTCTGCGTATTTCGGCACACGGCAGGCCTTGAAATCGAAAAGAGTCAAGATCCAATGCTGGTCGATGTTGCGTTAGACCATGGTCTTGAGTAGCGCAAAAGAATATCAACAGAAGTACAATTCTGAGGTCGGCAGTTGGTGAGGGAGAGAAGCGGCATTGGTAATTTGGGCTGGACTTTGCGCCCTTGCGACCATCCCACCACCCGATTTCCTTATACCTTGCATCCCGTCGCCTCGGGAGCTATTATGATGCGCACGATCCCGATGAGTTTATGGCAGGCAACATAGAGGCGGTAAATATCGCGCGGCTGCAAGTTGCCGCGTATTGCGAGGGTTTTAATGGGCCGAGCAAGTACAGTACAGCTAGCTAGGTTGCCCCTTGTTTCACAATGACAATTTACGACGAAAATGGTGGTGACCGGAGTGGAAACGCTAAGCACTATTAGAAAAGAGCACAGAAGAGACAAGGTGGTCATGACAGTCGAGCATTATACTTACCTAGATATCGGCAACCAACAGAATTGAGCATCAGTTTCACTCCACACTTGTAACAGGCAAAGCTGCTGTTGTGAGCTATTTTGTCGTTTGCAACAATAGGTTTTCACGGGGAAAACACTACAGTACAACCCACCCTACCTCTACGCGCATGTCCGTGCCTAACTAAATATGATATGTTTGCAGAAGCGAGCAACTTTATACTTACCACTGCAAGCTGCGTTAAAAGAAGGTTGCCACTATCGCAGGGCTGATACATGTTAAAAAGGCAAATGTCAAGCTGCCGATCAGACGCCAAGTCTCTCAACCCCAGACAGCAAATATTCATGCTACTAAGTAATAACGTATGGGTGTATGGAGGTTATCAGGCGTACCTGTATGCACAATTGCCGATTTTGCAACGCAATGGCCTTTGTGATAACATTTTCGGCAACTAACAAGTTTCCAACCCAACATTGGCTGGGCCAGTTGATCAATACTACGTACTAGATACCTAGGTAATTGCTGCAAGATATCCATACCTTGGCACGAATCGCAATTCTCCCCGGCTCGCTACCTAGTAGAAGCGACGGTGGTTTCGAAACACGTTGGCTGACCGACCTCCACTTTATTATATTCATTTCCGCAAGAAAGAGGCCCACAGACTGACGCATCTTCCTACAGTACATGGAGAGTGAGGTTTGGGGCTGAGCCTTTCTAGTCAGTATGCATGTATCCGCAGGTTAGGTTTTGACGGCCAAATGATAATACTGGTGTTGTTAGATAGTTTCATCCTCACTAGCAAGGATCAAGCCTCGAGCTCACGGAGGCTAGGATATCCGGAAAACTTCCATTGTTCTCGCGGACATGCAGCGTAGAACGGGCCGTTGCAAAACTGGAGCATATATACCTGGGCCATAAGCCAGGTCATGGATAATATACCAACCTCATTGCTGGATCCGGACCCGTATCTTCGCACACATGCAACGGTGAATCGACAGAAATAGCAGATCCCTTCGGTTTTATCCATAAACAAAGTACAACGGCCCACAGTCGGGACTGTACTCGCCTGGTATATCCGCCGCGCGTGGAGACAGAGCTATTGTTGCACGAACAAGAGACACAAAAGAAAGGCGGAGGGGGGATTTATCTGCTGCATAGGATTGTGTACCGACGACCTGAGACAGCCGTTGAAGGACCCCTACCTGCCTAGGGAAAGCATTGTGCTGAGCATATACTTACATACATACGTACGTGGATCGCCCCGTGAAGAAGCATCCATTATTTGAATAGAAGAATGGATGAGATGGCAACCATGGTCCCGTCCAATGCTTTGGCGTGTGTCTCTCACAGATCCTGTTCTACTTGTTCCCGTTCCTACTCAGAGAATTGTGAGTACTGGGATATACTGTTACCAGTACAAGCGCAATCGTCACCCACGGATCGCACAGGAGGAATCCTCAACTGACAGCGGTGGCAGTTAGCAAAACACAGAACCTGGCTTTGTCGGAACAGAAACCCTCTGGTTCTTAGTCTACCTTTTTATCCTGAGTGGGCTTGATGTTATCGCGGTCATCGATCAGCCTGACCTGATCGTGGGGATCAAATCTGACCCTTCGGCGACGGATGCCCGCAGCGTCCAACTTATTGCGCGAAGAGGCCGCAGATCCACCCCGTTCAATATGCCATTGAGCAAAGCAAGGCCGTCACCACGGCCGTCTGCCACGAGCAGCTTCAGCGATATTGCAAACAAGTCGGAAGCCAGAAAAGACAGGTTCAGGTTGAAGTCAGATGAGGATGAGGAGAATACGTATGGGAGAAATCGACAACATGGACGACAGCGAACCACGAGCGTTATCCCAGGCAAATCCGATACCGATACCGAGAACCAAAACCAGAACCAGAAAGAGGACGAGGACGAAGCCGTAAACGAATCTGGCGCCATAGATGCAGTTGCACCCACATCCGCATCGACTGGGGGTCGCTTTATGCGGCCGGATTTTCTGATTCAAGGTCTCCTTGCTCGAGCCAAGAATCGTGTAAGGGAGCGCAGTGGGAGAGGAGAAAAGGACGATGAAAATGTAAGTCAGGATTTTGCTACTTGTATGTTGTTGAGTCTGACGAGGCACTCGCTATCTACCTACTACTTGCTGTACTGTACCGTCATGACTACATGACATTGCCAATCAAAGGTGCATCTGAGAGACATTGCGACATCAGACCACTGCATTTACATCCCTTGTTAGCTACCTACTATTATTCAGTGTGTCGCGTGCTATGACGATCTCGGGTCAGGTCATGCCATTGTCCATTGACAGCCCTGAATTGGCCCCTCAATGGGCTCAGTTTGGGGGCGTTTCTGGCCGATGGTCTGTCTGTGCTGGCTGTATGGTACCTATCTAAAATGGCAGGATGTCATGATAATCTTGATCCTATGTCATGTCAATTATCTTTTCTTCTTCTTCTTCTTCTTCTTCTTCTTCTTCTTCTTCTTCTTCTTCTTCCTTTTCTATTTCTATTCCTTTTCTTTTCTTTAGTTCTTTCTCATCAGGCTTCAATCACACATCTCATCTATCTATGCTGCATACTCTCAATTGGTCCCTTCTTGGCTACTCTCACCTGACCTGACTGACTGAATCGCCTCCCTCAGCTGCAACAGGAAAAGAAACAGAAACAGAAACAGAGTGTCACCACCGCCCTTTCTCCTAGTAATAGGAAGTCGTTCTCCCCGCATTCTCCTCCGCCACGCGCCGCTCCCCCCGACCGAGGCTTCCGCCCAACCCCACCTGCAACTTGTAGCTCTACGGGGATATTCCAGGGGACCAAGACTAAGACAAGAACTAATACTAAGACGCCTGCACCTGTGCCTATAACTACGCCTTCATCGTCACAGTCGCCGTCACACCTACCACGGTCTCTGATTTCCCCGCGTTCGCCTCCGGATCAGAACAAGCCGCTTCCTCCTCCTCCACCGACTCCGGGTTCCTTGTCCGACAAGGAAAATGCTACTTCTCCCCCGCCCAAGCCCGTCTTGAAGCTGAACCGAATCATGTCTACTCTTACCGAGTCTGAGATCGAGAAGCTCTTCTCGGGTGCCCCTCAGTACTTTGCTCGTAGCGAGGGGCATTGTTCTGGTGCTCCCAATCCTAGCGTCGCATTTCCCTTTGACGAGGCATTGGAGATCCGCGACCTCACTGACCATGTACAAATCGAAGACCGAGCATGGAGTGGTCTCACAGCATGGCCTCACCTAACCAGGGACCTTAATCAGGATGCTGCTGCCCGGGCTCAGGCTGTCGACTCTCGCAAGGCCCACTTCTTCATCCGCTGTCGGGAACGTCCCAACATGCTGAGTATGCAGGGCCTGGAGAAAGGTACTATGGGCTTCTCAGCTGCCCTTGAGCTCGCCGTGGGTGATGCTCTCGAGGAGGAGCAGTTCGGCTTCGATAGTCTGGGCAAAAAGGCCCATGCCATTGTCGAGGCACGTGAGCGTATGCTTTCCTCACTGGGTTATTTGCGTCGCCTGCCCGAGACAGAACTGATGGACCGTCTCAAGCGAAACGCAGAGCTGTATCGAGTCAATGACCTTCGCAAGAAAACCTCTGTCCAGACTTACCAGGATCTCTTTCATTCATTCATGCGGCCATGCAACTCCGTCGTCGATAAGCGCGACCACTACAGCTTAACCAACCAGATCAATGCCCTGATCAAGTGTCTCGGCACCGCCAACGTGTGGTTTGACTTCACTCATGTTGAGTGGAGGATCAGATTGGGGCAAATCCTGTGGGGAAGCGAAGACAATGATGAACTGGAAGATACTTCGTCGATCCACGATGCCACCAGTGCAGGTGAGCGGGCTGAGGAGAAGTATTGGCTCCTCATGCAAATTCTTGTTGCTACTGAACTTCTCATCCGACTAGATGCTATAACTGAGGGCGAGGAATATGGAGTTGAAGCTTTTCGGCCTGTTGATGTAGTGCATTTTGAGAGAGCAGCTACTCCGATGGTTAAATGGTCGCTGCATCTTGCACGAAGCTGGCTGGACAATATCGAAATTGAAAAGGTTCAGGAGCAACCTCCAAGCGATTCCAAGACAATAGAACCATCTACGCCTCCTCCGGCAACAGGCTGGCTTGGGTCGCTCTTCAGCAAATTTACCTTCCGTCAGCACCATGATGACAAAACGATGGCCAGCTATAGCTATACTATCAAAGGTCGCAATCCACAACAGCAAGTGGACGGGCTCACTCATTTCGCCAAGAAGTTACTTTGGCCCGGCATTGACACGTACGAGGGTCTTATAGCGAACAATGCACGACAATCGATCATTAATTCGGTGCCAAGTCCTTCTCCTACAGTTGCTTCTGGAAAAACACCCAAGACGCCTTCTGAAACTAATGGATCGAAGCGATCGTTGTACTTCGGGTCGGATGACCACAAGGACAAGTCGCGACCACAACGACGAAAGCTTTCTGCAGCACTTCATCCTTCCGGCTGGCTTTCGAAGTCATATATATACGGTTTGATGCTTCCAGGGGACGGGTTATGTCATTTCTTGATGGCTACACTGCTGGAGAATGATAGCAAAGCCATGGGTCGCCTGGGACCCTTCGCTAACTTGTGCGGAGGGTTTGTGTATTCCGGCAAAAGCTTCTGGAGCACATCATGTATTGTGGGCCGAGTCATTGCGGCAGGTCAAGGTTCTGCCGAGTGTATGGGATGGGTCTCCAGTGATATCCTTCCTCTCGGTATCAATGAAGGCTGGGTCAATATTGAAGTTGAGGACGTGGCTGGTAAGATCTTGCACACAGATCCAGGACGAAGACCGAACTAACAGATAACAGAAGATATGGCTCATTTGGGCAAGAAAGCCAGACTCTGGGCAAAGAAGCGAGTTGAGCGTGAATCCTCCATTCTTGGAGACGCCGACGAATACTCTTGCTTCCCTGCAGACTTCATCATCCCTCACGAAAATAGCTACTCGACACCACCTCCGCTGATTGGTGTTACTCTCCGATCACTGGAACTTGTGCCATCCGAGTCTTCAAAGACAAATTCGGGAAGGGAAATCAACAAGGAACCTGAATTACTGTCGCGACCAGCAACTGTCAATTTCGCTGTAGCGATTGATGGATTCACAGCTGAGCATTTCTCATTCTCTCTAGCCTACGATATCAGTTTTGTAACGGCGCACCCGTGTTCGCCTTCTCATCGAGTCCGCTTCGTCAAATCGCCATCGAGCCCAACAATTCAGCAAATCGATGTATCTGGGTCTGACACATTCGGGCAAGGCTCTCGGCCTGCCCATCGCACAGGTGAGAACAAACCTCAGCTTGGTGACGCCTGCAATATGTAGCTAACTTTATTCTCAGGCCATCCCCTACACAAGTGGTATAATTACGCAGTTATTCATATCTCGGAACTTATAAAGCGTCAACACGCCCCACTCTCGGAGCTTCTTGCAGTCCCTCCCACACACCGCCGCACGCCATCTCGCGTAGGAAGTGACCGAGTGCTTGTCATTGACTGCATTACCAACTTATCTGAGGTGCCTCAATCTCCCACTATTGAGAGACTCACCTCAAAATATAATATTGTTCAGCGTCGAGGCAGTTTCCCTGCTGCCGAACAGATGCATTTCGAGTCCAGAAAACGACAGTTTGGTTCAGACATGGAAATTCTGGTTCGTGCGCTCTGCGCTCAAAAAGGCTGGAACGCCATCATCAGCCGACGAAAACGAGGATGTTTGGCTTGTGCTATCCGCGAAGCCGGCGCATTGCAATGGAAGGTCATTATCCGGGTAGAGTGAGCCAAGCTCGCCTCTGTCATTACGAGCTTATGATACGGCGTTCATGTTACGGGTGCATAATGTCTGCTTTGTATGGGTCTATAAGCCCAAGCGCTATCTTGGGCTGGTCATTACGATGGTTGTTATGATATATATATATACACATGTACGCTGGAGTTGAAATCTTGGAAGCAACCAATGTATATGCACACACATATTTTATTTATGCATGACCGTAATTCGGTTTTACTCTTGTGAAGACTCCAAGATGATAAATGGAAACCAGATGAAAGATGACATCCTTTTACTCTTGACAGGTATTTGATATGTACCTAGGTACTCACCTAGAATATTTATTTGTCTCCTTTACTTGTAGAAGTGCTGTGGAACTTCACTTCCCTTTTAGGTAGGTGAAATCGTTACGCCACGCTACCCCACCCAGGAAGACGCCACAATTAAAGCCTCACCCCGGTTCAATTGGCCTGACAGGTCGCGCGGGCTTAGAGGTAATTGCGACAACCATCGAACAACCATCATTTCCCATCATCACAACAGCAAAGATGGCGCCTACCAAAGATCCCAGAAGAACCGATCTAAGTAAGTGACACGTATGCAGCGCTTACTTCGAGTCAAGAACAAGCGCCATGCGCAATACAATCATCACAACTGCGACCACCAAGCTAACTTGATGACACAGTCGTCCCTTACCAAGAGCCTAAGAGCTCGGGCGAGTCCACCGATATCTCCTCGACTATGTCTACCACCCTTCCAATGGCCGCTATGTTCACGCGCAATAAGCTTGTGGGATGGTATGTAATCCCAAAGACATCTGAGGACTGCGGAGACGTGGCGCGAAAGTGATGCGAAGCAAGAAGTATACAAGTTGCTAACAATCTTCCGACACAAACAGGGCCTCTGTCGTTTTCTCCATCCAGAGTTGGCTCGGCGAGAGCGAGGATTCCAAGAAGAACTCTGCCACACCTGGGTACTTTTCTGTCGGCATGTCAAGTATGTTCTGCATATTCACCCAACAGTAAGAAGAACTCATACTAACAATAGATAGTTATGGCACTTGTCGTCACTTACCTACCCATCTTCCTCCCACCCGTTGGTGGCAAGCAGGCTTCGGGTACTGAGGCCCCTGCTCCTGTTCCTCTAGCATAATCAATTGGGGAGCTGCTCCAAGAGACGTGCATGTAATAATGAATGACCCGTGCAAGGCAGGACGAGAGTGAAGCTATGTAGGATTAATTGTCATTGAGCGTTATATTTTCCCTTCGTCGGCCGTACGTGTCTGAAGTGAACCAACCTATGGACTAGGAAACATGTGTAGGAAATCTGCCATGAGGTTTTGGAAGGACTGGCATGTCTAACATTCTTGCGTTATGGGTTTGTGAGTTTAAAACAACAAGCTGCCCAAAGCCTTAGCTTCTTTGGAAACTGCGTCAGCTATGCATCCAATGCCTACTACATAACAGAGAAGTGAAGATGAAGGGCGCCAGCAAAAGATCAACTCAGGAGCTGGCCTAAATTTTCATAAAGTGACGAAACTGTTTAATTTCATACCCTTGGCGGTCAATGTGTCTTTAATACTCTAATGTATATATCATTTAATCATCAACATCGTCAAACATCAAGCTACCAGCTACCAGCCGCTCACCATCTTCGGCCGTACAAAGAGCTTTCCTCCTTTTTCGGACGTTCTGGTCGCCTTTGCATCGAAGCCGCAGTCCTGCGTCCGTTGCCATCAAAGCTTCGATCAGCGACATCGGAGGTATCAGCAATCACGGCAGGGTTGTCTGCAGAAGAACCCGTCTTAAACAGATTGATGATCTCGTTGAGGCCGAGCTTGAGGGCCTCCTTGCGCATGCCACCCTCGATGGCCTGTTCGGCGAGTTCGCGTTTCTTCTCTTGCAGTTCGAGGATGCGCTCCTCGACTGTTTGGGAGACAGTGAGCTTGTAGATGATTACGTCGACCGTTTGTGTGAGACGGTGGACACGGTCGATGGCTTGTTCTTCAACAAACTAAGTGAATTTGTTAGCAAGTCTGTTCATTGCCGCACGACAGAGGGCAAGGCATACTGGATTCCAGAAAGGTTCGAGAATGACCACTCTGGTCGCTGCTGTAAGGTTAAGTCCTAAACTACCGCACTTCAAACTGCACAGCAGGATTCGTGTCTCAGGATCGCTCCTCAATTTTCGCAAACTTTCTTCTCGCTCGTCATTCTTCATGCTACCATCGTAACGTACGAAGCGGAACCGCTCCTTGCGGAAGAAGGGCTCCACTAGGTTTAGCATAGATGTGAACTGGGAGAAGACAATGAACTTATGTTCTTTCACTTCCTTCTGGAGAATCTTGATGAGTTCTCGAATCTTGGAGGAAGCGAGGACCTGTGGAGAGTCAGGATCGCGTGAAGGGTAGAAAACACTGTCATCTTCTTCAGAAGAAACATCAGAAACATCGGATTGAGAATCAGAGTCAGAATTAGACTCTGAGCCTGAGTCCGAAGCAGATGAGCCAGAGACAGCAGTTGTATCGGCGGCGGTTGTATCGGCAGCAGTCGTATCTGCATCTGTATCCTCAGCCGATGTGTCAGCAACATTGGGGGCCTTCTCGTCCAACGTTTGGGCGGCCATGCGCTTTGTGAGATCAGTCAAGGAGGCCAAAGAGTCATCAGAGTCGGAGGCGTCGCCTTCCGTTTGGCGAAGGTTGTCGGTGGTTTCGTCATTCTCGATGAAACTGCTTAAGTTGCTTTTATCTTCAAGTTTGCTCTCTTCGTCATCAGAGTCATCGGGTCCTATGGAATCACCTCCGCCCTCTGCATTTTCATCTTCTTCGCCACCGGCCTTTCCCAGGTGAATTGAACCCCGTTCGTCTTCTGACACGAGCCATGAACCTTCGGCTTCATCCTCATCATCACTGTCGACGATGGCGGCTCGGTTCCGAGGCTTTCGGGTGGTCTTTTGTGGCGATGCTGTGTCCTCGTCATCGCTATCGACCACAGCGTTTCGGTTGTGACGCCGTCTTGGGGCTGCCTTGGAGGATTCGACATCTTCATCGTCGTCACCGACCTCGACAATGTCTCTGGCGACCACCTTCTCGTCCACGACGGCCTCTTTGACAGCTTGCTTCTTCGTCTTTTCTTTTTTGTTCTTACGCTTGGACCTGGATGTCTTTGACTTCTTTGGCCGCTCCGACATCTCCGCCCGTTCATGATCGTTAAAGTATGCCAGGTCAGCGTGGCATTCAGAGCAGATGTCTTTGCCCAACTTGTTTTCTTCGCCACTCAAGCCTCGTCCGCAGATATTGCAATCCTTGGAAACAATACCCATGCCAGCGAACATATCGGCCATGGCATCGATGTCTGCGTCTTGGTTCTTCTGCGTAGAGCCCATGGACATTGCATCCTTGTCCTTTTCCAGCTTGCCTTCGACAAGTTTGGGGTGATTGCAAGCCTGCCGAAGTCGTAGCAACAGAGTCAAGGCATTGGCGTAGTTGACTTTGCCTTGCATCATCTGATCCTCAAGACTTCGGTCCGCTCGAGCTGCCAGTCGATCGTAGAACTTGCGCTCTGCAGGCGATAGTGCAGTCGCCACAGTAACGACCTTGCGCTCGGTGACCTTGAAACCCGTTGAAGAACCTTCACCTTTGGCGGAAGGCTTACCACCAGGGTTGAGCGCACCATCTTCCTTGAGAATGTCTTTGGTTCTTCGTTTCATGAAGCATCTAAGAAGACTGTGAAGTCTTCGAATAGCAATGTGGCCTCGACCGTTCTTTAAGGGCAGATCGATATGCTCCTTCCATTCCTTGAGATCATCATAAGGTCGAATGCGGAGGAACTTGACAAGAGACTGCAGTTCATCAAGGTTGTTCTGCATAGGTGTACCAGACAAGCACCATCGATACTCCGAATTCAAGGCATAGCATGCCTTTGTCGCCTTCGCGTTTCGATTTTTGACGGTATGGGCTTCATCTAGAACAATCCGCCACCAGTGCAAGCCGAAACAGCCTGCTTTCAGTCCGTTCTCGGCGTCAGATGAATTTCCGTGCTCTGAAACCAGAATTTGGTAGGTTGTGATAACAACATCGTAAAGAGCAAGGTCTTTAAACCTTTTAGTGCGATTGGGCCCATGATGGACACAGACCTTAAGACCATGGGTTTTTTCCACTTTGTCCTTAATTTCGTGTTCCCATTGTCGAATCAGAGCCAAGGGTGCCACTACAAGTGTCGTCTTCTCAATCTTTTCGAAGTGTTTCTTCCAACCAGGTGCGTCCTTAGCTGGTTTCTGGTTGGTGAGAATGAGCGAAATGGTTTGGAGGGTCTTTCCAAGACCCATGTCGTCGGCGAGAATACCTCCCTTGGGCACTCTTCCTCGCTTGACAGGACCTAGCTCTCGTCCCCGCATCCATTCAACACCTTCAACTTGATGGGGTAGCAACTTGACTTTGAGGCCATCCACGGTACCATCTTTAGCGTCCTTGTTAGCTTCTGGTTTCTTCTCACCACCCGCTTGGTTTTCGCCGGCTTCGTCTTCGCCCTCTTCCATCCCACCCTCGAGTAAAGCCTTCAGATCGGCGCTTGCCTTTGCAGGATCCGTGTAGAAAGTTTCCTCGCCGTAGTTCCTTGTAGGTGCATACGAAGATGCAACTGGTGGTGCGGAGGGAGCCACTGAGCTGAACATTGGCAACGGCGGTGGTCTTCGATCTTGGTATACGGGACCTCTTGGGCCTGTGATTCTGGTACCGCTATTGCTGCTTCGGTTATCGAGATGGTGCTCGGGTCGGGTCTTTTGCCGTATGAAAGGGTCTGCTCTCTGCTTACGAGAGGACACCATCTTTGTGGGATGGCCAAATGTGGGAGTGTTGGTGGCGGCGGTTGGGTTGAAGGGGTCATTCATGTCCCCGCGGACGTTGCCCTTGACCGAGTTCATACCACGAACAAGGGCGGTGATATCGTCGTCAGGAGAGAGCTCGCGGGATGCATTCTCGCCATTTGGGTTGATGGAATGTAGGGGAGCCTTGGGAGGCGCACGTTCGTTAACCATGGTGCCGAGATCTTGAAGAGCAGTCGAGTTGCGAAAATGGGTCTTTGATTGACGCGGGGCAAATTTGAGAAGTCGAGCGGTTGTGTTGGCAAGAGGGTGGACTGAGTGTTGAATGTAAAACGAGCACCAGGCTTACGTTTGACGTTAAGGCTGAAAGAAGACCTTTTGCTAGTCGTTAAAGTATGGATGAGCTAGGTGGTGGGCGCCGTTGAGGATATGTGCTGTTTCGTGAAGCCGTTGTGTACACGGAACTTTGCACAAGTTTATCGTTTATCGGAAAATGACATAATAATGAATTGCCCCAGCAACCAACGGAGGGGTTGTCATAAATCACCGTGCTGTTTTACGCCTAAGCCTGTCCAGGTCTTTTTTATCACTTTCTGCACGGGCACTGTATCGCAGAACCTCACTGTACAGTTCCCTAAAAATAGGAAAGATTGTAGAGGAAAGATAACAAACAAAATGTTTGCACAAGGAGACAACAGATAGCTGAGTACCTAAATACAGGTACCTGCTAACCTAGGTACCTATTTGTAGCAGCACCTAAGTGGTCTCTTGAAGAAACTAAAAATAAAAATAAAAGAACATCGTCTAGATGACAAAATAACGCTGCTAATTGGATGTTCAGACTCCCGGCAGCGTTAATGTTCCCAATATAGGTACATATAGTTCAGACCCTACATTTTGTCCAAGACAGCTGTGAGACCATAGGAAATATGAAAAATAAAACAAGAGTTCTTAATCTAAAAGTATCCTGCAAATAGTACCTTAGAATAGTAAATCACCACTATGACCAACCCACTTGCAAGTTTTCAGACATTCACAGTAAACAGACAAAAAGCGAAAGTGTAGAAGATATATACTTTTATATTGCAGAATCGTTAAGCAGTTCATGCTTACATTACATACAATCTCATGCCATGTTAAAAGAAAATCCAAATCCCTTCAGATATATATAAAAAGAGGGCAGCCGGTTTGTGGCCGCCATGTAATGACGCCGGACCCAGATGGTAAACAGTTGCTCAAATTTGTCATGACCCATTGCAAAAAAAAGAATCGCTTTCCCTTTTGTTGTTTTTGTTTCGTTTCCTTAGACAACGGGGCCGGCCTTGACAACGTCTTCGGTGGCCTCGCTCTCGTACTTGGTGAAGTTCTCGCGGAAGAGCTTGCCCAGCTTGACAACCTCGGTGTTGAAGCTGTCCTCGCCAGCTGTCCAAGCCTTGGAGGGGTTGAGGAGCTCGGAGGGGACGTTGGGGCAGGTCTTGGGGACCTGGAGGTTGAAGACATCGTAGTTCTCGTACTCGACGTTGGCGAGCTCGCCAGAGTGAATGGCGTCGAGGATGGCACGGGTGTACTTGAGGGGGCATCGCTTGCCGCCCTGAGCGAAACCGGCACCAACCCAACCGGTGTTGAGGAGCCAGGCGTTGGCGTTGTGAGTCTCGATCTTGTCGGCAAGCATCTTGGCGTACTTCATGGGGTGCAGAGCAAGGAAGGGCTGAGCGAAGCAGCTGGAGAAGGTAGCCTGGGGCTCGGTGACGCCGTCCTCAGTACCGGCCATCTTGGAGGTGTAACCAGAAATGAAGTGGAACATGGTCTGGGCGCTGTCGAGCTTGGAGATAGGAGGCAAGACACCGCGGGCATCGCAGGTGAGGAGGATGATGTTGGAGGGAGAGTTGGGGGAAAGGCAAGGAATCTTGGCGTTGGAGATGTATTCGATGGGGTAGGCGCATCGAGTGTTCTCAGTGAGGGTAGCGTCGTCGTAGTCAACCTCACGAGTAAGAGGGTCGAAGACGACGTTCTCGAGGACGGAACCGTATCGGATAGCGCCATAAATATCGGGCTCCTTCTCAGCAGAGAGACCAATGGTCTTGGCGTAGCAACCACCCTCGATGTTGAAGACACCGTTGTCGGACCAGCAGTGCTCGTCGTCACCAATAAGAGCTCGGTTGGGGTCGGCAGAGAGTGTGGTCTTGCCAGTTCCAGAGAGACCGAAGAAAAGGGTGACATCGCCGTTCTTACCCTCGTTGGCGGAAGAGTGAAGAGTGAGGACGTTGTGCTTGATAGGCATCTCGTAAAAGAGAACAGTGAAAACTCCCTTCTTCATCTCACCTTTGAGAAGTTAGCATCGTTTTCCAACACATCTCGAAGGGAAGGAAGTAAAATCTTACCAGCGTACTCAGTACCGAGGATGACCATCTCCTTCTGCTCGAAGTTGATGGCAACGGATGTACCGGAGGTCATACCCTCGGTGTATCGGTTGGCAGGGAACTTGCCAGCATTGTAGATTGTGTAGTCGGGGTGGAAGTCCTTGAGCTCCTCTCGTGTAGGTCGGATAAGCATGTTTCGCATGAAGAGAGCATGGTAGGCGCGAGCGCAAATGACTCGGACCTTGATGCGGTACTTCTCATCCCAGCCGGCGAAACCATCGATGACATAGATACGGCTTCGGGTGTTGAGGTAGTCGACAGCACGTTCTCGGTTGATCTTCCAGACCTGTAGTGATTATTTTGTCAGCTAATATTTCTTCAGAGAGTTTGCGATGAATGAGATCATTCGGGGGAAGATGTCCGGCCGCCATGCCTAGTGGGAGAAAGGCAGCCGGGTCGGAAAAAATCGTGGACGGGAAGAAAAGAGGGGCACGACACGGCCGACAGATTCGGAGGACGGGGCAGACATCTCGGCCTGAATCCGTACAGAGGCCAGAAGGGAAGGTGAGCGTGTGAGGACTGAGAGCGAGACTGAGACTGCGGGGTCGAGATTGCCGACCCCATGACGCACCACCCCGGAACGACCAGGGGAACAAACGAACCAAGCGCAATGGCGTTAAACCAATGAACCACTAGAGAACCACTCGGCCAAGCCTGTACCAACCAGCGACCAGGCAATTGGGTAAGAGAATAAGCACCAATTGGCAAGCCATTGAAGCCATGACGCCCGTGCTGCGGGTATCCTCGGAGAAAACCCAATTGCAATTGAACCTGGTCGCTGGAATGGACAAGAACTTCCGGCGTTGGTCTAGACGGTCTGCTCTTTTGGTTTTTGGTTTTTTTCTTGTCTTGTTTGTTCGTTCGTTCGTCTCGGCAGGCAGCAACCTCGTGATGTTGGCGATTCTTCTTCTGTAGCCGAGACCGGAAAACAGAAGTCAAAACACCACATCGAGCGAGTCTCAATCGATCATGGGCGCGGGAAATGATGTGCAATATGCTTGGGCGGAGCGCCGATTGTTTCTTACCTCAGGAGTCATGGGCTTGTTGACGGGTCCCCACCTATTAACTTCTTGTTAGCTGTCTGATGACAACGACTCATGCGCATGACGATAGAACTCTATTGTCGGCTGTTTGAGTTTGAACGTACCAGATGTTGTCCTTGGAAGAGGGCTCCTCGACAATTCGCTTGTCGAGAGGAGATCGACCAGTCTTAGCACCAGAGTAGGCAGTCAAGGCACCGCTGGATGTGATGGCGGTACCGGTCTCGTAAACAAGAGCATCCTCGTAGAGGGCGGCGACTGAAGGGTTGGGGATCTAAGTAGTAACATGTTAGTCGCAATTATCTCTAGACTAGGTTTGTTTTAGGACTGCTTCTTACAATGGCGACACGATCGTAGTCAATGTGAGCCTTGTCGTGGAGCTCCTGCTCCAACTCGGTGTGCTCCTGGTGAGGACTGAAGCATGTGTTAGTGAACCGAGCGCAAATACATGTATCATGGGACACATACGTAACACCGGTAGGGTGAAGGGAAGTCTTGTTAACGTTGTTGGGAAGCACTGCGAGAGGGTTAGTATCGTGTCTTGAACTTGTGTGATGGTAGGTATCGGGCGTGGTGACTTCCATCATGGGAAGGGCAGCATGTGTGAGGGCATCATGACAAGACAGCTCGGCCGTCAACCAAGGGACAAAGACAAGACTCACTCTTGAAGAAATCGGTTCCTGAAGCCTGAATCTGTGAGCCTGGACCTTTGAAAGTTGGGATTGAATACAGAGAAGCAGCTTTGAAGACGGGGTCATTGATGGCTTTTATAAAAGCTTCACGAGCAGCTTGAGATTTGAAAGTAGACGCCCTGGGGTGGGCCACGATAGGTGTGGCCCTCCGCAAGCTGGGGACTTTAGATAGTGCCCGCTTGCCAGGGCCAAAACCGAGGATGGAGCAAGACGGGGACGGATAGAGAGTGAGGCTGTGACTGGCAGAGACAAGCGCGTAGTGGAGCTGACGAGGCGTCGCAGGTGACAGACACGATATTAAGCCGGAAGAGATTCCTTGGTACGAGGACAAGGTCAAGGAGACGGTGACGGGACGGGAAAGGCCATGAAGAATATCATGGTACGGATACAAATGTACCCGATACAGTCTGGGAGCCAGTTTTTAGGATGGGCTATTGCGGGACGGAAGGGGGTCACAAAACGTAACCCAAACCCCCGGTCCACGTTCAAAGTCCAAACTCTTTCAGAAAAGGAAGCGTCAAAGTTTTGGGCGTGGAGAAATGGAGTACAGCACAGTCCAGTCCAGTCCAGGAAGATGCCGGAAGATATTGATTCTTGGTCCAGGAAATTGTACGTTACTGTACGGTACTGTAAACAACCAAGCAAGATGTCTTCACTTGACGTACTGTATTGACGTTGATGTGACGGTACGAATACAGTAACCCTTGTTCCTGTCTGTTGCTGGTGGTGGATGAATAAAAGCAGCTGATAGTCAGGTTGTTTGTTTGTTTGTTTGTTTGTTTGTTTTAGAAGTGAGGAGATGCAGTAGGTATCTACTGTAACTGTACTGTATCTACGAATACACCAGTAATGACAATTATGACGGTACCTGCTTATTCCCCTCTGATATTCTTATATACGAGCCTACAATTTGCCTGATTTGGCTACTACTACTACTATGGAAGGTAGTCCAACTCACGTACTGCCAATCCTTGAGGTCGCTGTCTCGATGCTGTACAGTACTGTATTCTTCGGGTAAATAAATTACCAAAAATCATCATTGCGAATTTGCATGTCACATTGTTCAATTTTCCCCCAAGTCCACCATCGTCTTAGGCCTAATCGTGTACTGTAGTTCAATCGCTAACCAATGTGTGTCGTCATGATCGTCGGTTCAGGGCCCCCCAAACTAAAACACAACGGTGATTCAATACCCGCGATCTTCCGTAAAAAGAGACTCGGCTGCATATCAATTACATACTTGAATACTTTCTAGAATCCGTTTCTGCATGGATACATTGTCATGCATAAACAGTACAGTATAGTACAGTATATTCTTGATTGGAAAATCTCTTGATGCGATTTGTCGTTTTGACTACCTACCGTACTGTACATTCTCATGGCGAGGGTGTACCATATTGTCTACCGTCTATTACCGTAGATACTTGCCGTGCCGACTTACAAACTTTTGTACAATATCCGTAGACAGGGGCTGAATTCCCCGGTTCCCCTCATATTTGATTACCATCGGAGCAGGACGGGGCAGATGATACTGTAGCTACTGAATCGGTCAAACTTGTACGGACATTGAATTCCTTAGAGTTTGGGGCCCAAGGTAGTGTATGGCTATGGGTGTACTGTAGGCATACAACCCTTGTTGGGCTTAGCCAATTGATCGAGAAGGGAGCTTGGTTTGAATTTGACATGGGATGCATTGAAAGCAAAGATTGACTTTCAATTCATTGGCTGTGTTGTCCAACCAGCAGTCTGAAGATGGGTGGCCATCGTCAACTTCTTCGTCTTGGACGACGAGAGCCAAGACGGTGGAGGTTGCACCCAGCCAGATCGATAATTCTTACGTACTGCAATGCTCATGCTGGTCCATGTCTTATGAGAACCAGGTCAGCCGACCATAAAAAATAAAAGAAAAGAAAAAGGCCAGAGCTTCTTTTCGCAATCTAGACAAACCTATTTTAACATCATGGGGAAACAAGCTCGCCAAGGCCGCGTACCGTATTGAAGGGGGGGAGGGCGGTCAAAAAGAAGTTCTGTAGCTAGGGCTGAGATTCAGATTGCGGAGAAGAGACTAATGAGCAGGACAAGAAAAAGAAAAAGAAAAAAAGAAAGAAAGCAACAACACCGAGCCTCACCCCAGCCCCAGCTCGGTATACGATGCAATTCCTTCCATTTGTCTGTGCTGTTGAAACTCGCTGGTCAGCAGACAGGAACAACAGGGAGACGGTGGATACGACACGGAGAGAAAAGGACTGGTTTGACGACGCTACGGTAGGTCCCGCGGGCAATAGCCCAGGCATGGTTCCAGCTGTTGTTTAAAGATGAATACCTGCAAATCGTGTTCTGCAAGCCTTAGTGTCCTTCCTGCGTGACAACTAAAGTGCTTCTCGTAGACACGAATGAATTGGTCTGAATGCAGTGTAATGGACAAATTTGATAAGATGCAGTCGTAGACAGACTTTGGTTTCTCGTGGCTGCTTGATCTCCTACCCTGGGGTTACCTACTATCCTATCGGTCTTACTCTTACCCCACGATCTACTAGGGAGATACCGCACCTTGGGTATTTTTGCTTGAAGCAGAGTACTGTCTCTCTAGAGAATTATGAGGGATTCTACAAGTTATGCCTAGATAGGTACGATCTTCTGTAATTAAGCTGGTCCTCACCAATACAGCTTGCAGAGTACAGTATGTACGAGGATGAAAATCCCTGGGACTCTATTTCCGTTACCACATGGCGTATAGTGGAGGCTTCTAGACTACGTTCTTTCTTTCGCTTCTCCTTTTAATCAACTAGCATGAACCTGGTGCTGCATTCCACATGACTCTCGTGCGTAGTACAGTACGTACAGCTTGGAGATGAAATTTTCATCTACTTGCAGTATTGTTCTAGGTACCTACTAAAGATACCTCTGATACCTGACCAGGTATTGTATTGGGCAAGATCCTTCTAATCTTCATGATCCAGGTTTTAGTTTGAGTGACCATCGGACAGTCTTTGCTTCGCCCCGCAACTCGGTCTCATCAGTGCCGGTCGTCACGCAAATTTGAACAACAAAAATGAAAGTCACGATAATGCAAATGCATTACCGTCAGTAGCCTCTTCCTTGGAGTCGGTCTAAGTGACGTACAGGCCTTGAACCTGCATTCTTCAGTTATTGTATCCGTACTTCTCAAGCTCTTCTCTCCACATGACTCCGTACTGAGACGAAACTAAGATATCGACAGGTCTAATTGGTGGGTGTCTCACCTTGAGAAAGACACACACCCCTCTGCAAGTGCTCACCTTGACCTCGAAGTGTTCCGATATCATCCGAGTCTCCGTTTCTGACCGTTTCTCCGCCTAGAGCCTCCATAAAGAATTACGTTCCCGCGGCTGGGGCTCAAGAACCGTGTGGGGAACTGGGGTTGGGATGCGGGGACATGGCATGCATGGCTACTGATGTACTACGTACTACGTACCTAGTACCTAGCACAGGTAGGTATTTATTATTATGACTGTCTTCACCTTGAGATGGAAAACAAAAACAATGCTGTCCCGTTGCGGGCGCCCGCTTACCATGTTCGGTTAACTTCCTGACCATGCTCCGTGACCCGGCTCCGTCTCCTCCATATGCCTCCGGTACGCGATGCCAACCACTTTCACATCCGCGTTCCCGTTATCTCTCCCTGTCAATGTTAAAAACAGCAAGCTAATACTATCTGAAAGATGCCCTGTGACAATCTATTCTGTTTCGCTTGTAGAGATACTGTACCGTGCTTTGCTGACATCGTCTTTTGCCAGGCCACAATTTCCCGTGTATTCTCAAATACTGTACGTTCTACAAACTACTTGACCTTGGCAGGTGCATACACTACCATCCAGGAGTACTGTAATCATAATGATATAAGCAATATCAGGAATCGCTGTTTGGCCTCAATCCATCATCACCACATGAATCTGACCCACCTTGGGCCTGACAACGTTCCGTGCGCCTCCGGCCTCTCGGCAACCTTCCGAGACTGCTTCCAGCTTTCGCTCACCGAGAAGTAACAGCATCTATACAGTTTTTAACCGAGCCGTACCGTATCAAATTTAAGTAACACGCCCCCAACCCCCGATCCGCTGGGCCGCTTCCAGCCAGCACCTTACCGGGACCCGCACCCGCAACCGCACCCGCAACCGCAATATCTGCTTCCCTTCGGTACTCCTCCGTACATGGATGATGGATGCACATTGATTCCCCATACTCATGCTGAACTTTCATACGGTCACCACTCGTAGACTTTACTGTACAATCTGGGTAACGATTCTCTACAGCACTTTCCCACAACCGTCCCGACTTTTTCTCGTACTGGTATCTGGGAATTTTGTTATCGTCAACCATAGAGACAAGGTCAACGACCAACTCCATGCCCTTGCAAAGAGTCCTTTTTTGGGGTGTCACCTCGTCTCCGTTACCTAACTGACTTCGGAGACCGTCCATGGAAACACTGATCCCTGCTTTATCTGACAGTTGAGGCTGGGGTTACGTATCGCGAACCAAGGTCTGGACTGTAGATTATCGTGACTTTATGCACATCTCGGCGGGGTGTAGAAGGGATGACGGCGAAATACCTTCTCTTGCCGAGCTTTGTCTCATACAACTCACCGGGTTTCATGTTCCTTCACCTCCATAGGTTGCCTCCCGACTCTAATGTAAAACCCACGATAACAACTCGGACCTATTTTCGTTGATATACTCCTTCCTCCACTCCAATCTACCATGGTCTTATCCTGCTGATTCCCTATCTCGCGGTCAGATCAATTTCCGCAAGACTTCCGATGTACTTTTGCCCTGCACGAATCTGTCTTTCGCTGTGTTGTTCTGTTCTAAAGGTACCCGGCTCTCAACTCTCCTCCGTCTGTCAAACTACTATACCAGCTCAAGGTGCTGCCTCATTTTCTTCCTTTTCACGATACTGTACAATCTCAAGGCTTTACTTTCTAACACTGTTTGGCACGGAAATACAGTTATCATAATAGGTCACTATCAAACTCCTTTTGTTTTCTTCAAGCTCTCTATATAAACCTGAAGTTCTGGAAACGCACGACATCCACCATATTGCCCACTATCCCTTCTTTTCGTGGCGTCATTTTCAACGCCCGTCTGGTGCGATATAAGAAGATTCGTCAATCATTTAAGCATCTTCGGATGAGATGAGCTTCGTAATCTTGCCAATGGCAATTGTTTGTCCCTGTGAAAACCTTCAGTTAGCTGTCTGACTTGTTGCACGATGAAAGCACTCCCCAAGCCTCTTCGTGCCACGCCATGCTCGGTAGTGGTTCCTTTTGGCCCCTGGTTATCTGGGGACAAAGCGGACAGAGGTATGGGGAAATCAATGGGGAAATGCGTGTACGGATGTCTCCGTAGGGGCTAGGGGAGTGTAGAACTTACCTGGTCTCGTAGGGTGAAGCGACCCATCTGGGGATAGTCCTCGAACTTCTCCACGCACACAGCGCCTGCTCCGCCAATCACCTGCATGCGGGCGATAATGCTGTCGCCCTTCTTGGCGTGTGTAGGTGGGTTCTTGCTCTTGCGGTTGGTTCCCTTCTGAAGCTTGTGTAGAAGGCTTGCAAATGTGACTTCCTCAATGGCAGAGTGAACGTGCAGAACACAGTTGAAGCCAGCGGTCAGAATACTCTTGAGCTCCAAGATACGAATTTGCGCCTCGAACTCTGTAACAGTGTGCACAAGTCGCTTTGGTGAGCACAACACAAATCCGGGCAAGATATCGTCTTCCTCAATACCCTTGAGCCTAATTCGCACCTGGTCACCACACTGGGCAAGTTGAACTTCGTCTTCTTGCTCGCCGTAGACAGCAGCAGCCTCAACATTTTGCTTGTTTGGCATCATAATCATGCCCATGCCCTTCTTGACAACACCAGCCTCAATCTTGCCTTCAACCATAGTACCAAGATCACGGTACTTTCCGTTGATAGGCAACATGAAAGGAGCGTTGACCTTACGCTCCAGTGCCTTCATGCTGTCAAGGTACTCGAGAAGCGCGGGTCCCTCCCACCAGGGAGCGACGTCCTTGGGAATGCGAGTCTTGATGCCCTGCATCTGCTGGGCAGCAATGGGCAGGAAGTAAACATCGGTCTTGAGGTTATAACCAGTACCCTTAAGGAACTGAGCGAGCTTGGATGTGCACTCCTGGTATCGCTCCTGGGACCACTCCACGGTAGGGTCGTCCATCTTGTTAACGGCAACGATGAGCTTGTTGACACCCTGGGTCTTGGCAAGCATAGCATGCTCACGGGTCTGTCCACCTCGCTCGAAACCAGTCTCATACTCACCCTTTCGAGCAGAAATAACCAGAATACCAACATCGGCCTGCGAAGCACCTCCAATCATGTTGGGGACGTACATCTTGTGGCCAGGAGCATCAAGAATACTGTAGCGGCGCTTCTCGGTCTCGAAGAAACCACGTCCCACCTCGATCGTCTTTCCTTGCGTTCGCTCCTCCTTGTTCAAATCCATAACCCATGACAAGTACCAGGACTCGCGACCCAGATCCTTGGCCTCCCTCTTGTACTTATCCATGGTTCGCTCGTCAACCATGCCGGTAGCATACAGAATCGAACCGCCCAGAGTTGACTTTCCGGCATCGACGTGTCCCATGAAGATGATATTGACGTGCTCCTTGCCGTAAATTTCCTTAAGTGTCTCCTGGTCGACGTCGGCAGTCTGCTCCTTCTCGACAGCATCAATCTCTCGGGCAGCGGCCTTCTTCTCGCCAGCGGTGGGACTGTTGCGTCCAGAGCCAGGACTGGGCGAGGTCTTGCCTGAAGTCTTAGTACTGGCAGCCTTGCTAGCCTTCTCGCCTGTCTTCTCAATGGCCTTGGTAGCTGTGGCCTTTTGGCCAGCCTCGGGCTTGTCGGTAGGTTCAGCCTTGGGGGCCTCCTCCTGCTTCACAGGGGTAGCGGCGCCTGACCCAGAAATGGAAAGGACCTTGGCCTTGGGCTTGGGTGCGGATGTGTCGCCGCTGATGCTGATCACCTTGGGCTTAGAGGGGGCAGCAGCGGGTTGGCTGGGAGCAGCAGGGGCATCGGCGGCAGTTCGGTGGGCAATCGTAGGGGCAGCGGGCTGCTGGGGTTGCTGTTGCTGGCCGTACTGGGGGTAGCCACCACCTGTTTGATACGTTAGTATGTCGTCTATCGTAGCTTTATAATGAACAAAGTTTTTTTTTGGGGGGGGGGGCGCAAATATCATACCGTAGCCTTGGTTATAGCCGCCATAAGACTGGTTGAACTGGCCGCCATAGCCTTGCTGAGCGTTGTATTGTTGCTGGTAGTATGGCTGCTGGTAGAATTGTTGCTGCTGGAATTGAGGCTGGTATCCTCCGTATGCTGCCTGACCAGGCTGGAAAGAAGCGGCGCCTGGTGTGAAAGAAGCGGCGCCAGGTTGGAAAGAGTTGATGTTTGGTTGGAAGCCGCCTTGCGCGGGGGCGGGGTTCATGTTAAGTTGCTGCTGAGCCCTCTGGGAGAGGTTGTCATCCTGAGCAGAAGGATCATCCTCCCAAGAGTTAGGGGTCGCCATTGTGATGTGTTTTGGGCGGCTGTAGGGTGGGATATGTCGCGTAGAATAGGTTGGGCGAGGGGAGAGGAGAGTAAAAGTAGTAAAGTAGAGGGTTTTGCGATCGGTCGTTGCGGTCTGATGGGGGTTGCGGATTTAAAAGGCCCTAGATATGCAGCCTGTTTTGTGGAAAATGGGGCTTGTTTCGATTGCACGAACGTTTAAAGAATGCCAAGTTCTTTCAAGTCTGGGCTTGATGCAAGGCACAAATAAGAGACGACCTTTCGATCCCGTCCTGAAACGACCTCGAAGCGGGTGTAACAGGTGCAAGCTTTAGGCAGCGAACAAGCCCAATGATGGTAGGTATTCTGTGAATACTTTCCTTGTCTGCTTGTGTAGGTCCTGGTGGGGGGGAGAGGCAAGGTTCCCGTCAGGTTGAGTGAGGTTAGGTTGTAAAAATTCATGCCCCACCATCAATCATGACGCTACCTCAGGTTCGCTACCCTGGTGAAAAAAAGGTGTAAGGAGTGGAGGGGTTAGAGGGGTAAGTCTTGTATGGAGACTTGTACTGTGCGATTTCTCTCATTCGCACCCGATAGATAGATTTCTGCAGTATAACTTCTATTAATCACCTCTGAGTGGATAAAATGATGGGCAGAATGTTGTCTCATAGCCAGTGGATTACGCTCTCAGCCTTATGACTCCCTGTTGACTCATCTTGTGCCTAATCACAAGCCTTATGACGAACTACCTAGGTACCTTAGGCAGTGATACCAGCCACCTTGAGGGTAAGCTCGAGCCATGCCAAACGAGGGACATCCTGGGGTTTTCGACACTGTACAGATTCACTACCTAGGTATGTACTAAGGCATTGTAAGTGGAAAAAAGTTGAAGCTATGCGTTGGCGTGGTCAATTGCGTGCAGTTAATCAACGCCGCTAGCACGGCTACGAGCATCAATGCAACATTCATGGAACTTCGTACGAGGGACGTGCAATATTGTTTTGTTTTGCTTCACTTTTATTTTCTGACTTTCTCTTTTCTATTTTGAAAACGCTTTGAACAGTGTTTTCTCAGCATGATAAAACATTCAATAACTGTGAGCCTAGATTGTCCCGGTCATGGATGAGTTCCTCGCAACAGTTGGCGTTCAAGCCATGAGATATGCCATCCGCTCTGGCATCGCCTTAACATCATCCTACGCCATCGGTCAATGTTCGCGATTGCTCAAGTCGGTCGAGGACAAGGCAGTCCATGCTGAGCTCAAGTCCTTGCGGAACCTGCTCGACAACAAAATAAAGGTGCGTCACATCTTGAAGCCCAATCATCCATTCATCAAGGATACCTTACCTATAATTTGAGACCTAATGGAAGTTAACCGTCCTATGGCGTCACAGATTATCTCACCCGCCATTGACTTGATTGAGTTCAAGTAAGCATCCTATTCGCTCACCAACAATACAGCTAGAATGGTCTAGTTTGAGCTACTCTTCTTAGTCTGTTTCTGACATTCTCGATTATTCTAGGTCAGGACGAGGAAATATATTCCTCGAATCAGCTGCTCCTCTTGCGAAGTCGCTTCATAAGGACATCGTCTCGCTCGGGCGTCGCATAGAGGCGGCGACTACTGTCGATTCAAGCAGTAATCATATTCGACTGAAGACATCGCCGGTCAGTCGTGATGACTTGCTACTCATCGCTGCTGGGATAAAGGCCCTACTAGAGCGAATAGATCGCGAGATTCCGCTCTTGCAGTTGGCCATTACTGCGTCTGGAGAGAGCCTCTCAACATCATTACCCGCCGGCATCTCACCATCAAGACTACTACAAGCTAGCACTCTGCTCACCGTTGGTGACACACAGTTTGCTCAAGATCCAACAAGACCAGTGCAGATTGGACCAGCTTTCACCCTTTCGCTATACATGTTGTTCCTTGGCCACGCCTCTACCTTGATGCCACACGGTGCACCTGAAGTTACAGATACCACAGTCATCGCCAACAATCACTCCTCGAACTCGTCTAGCGCCGGTACAAGCTACGGCTTGGGGGAAGGGGAACGGAAGCCACTATGGCAAGAGGTACTGCACAAGGCACGTGTACGCATCTGCAGAACTCGCAAAGATTTTCACTTCGATAGTCAAAGAGGCTATTGCGCTGTACCGTTAGAAGAATATGCCCTTCCGCCCACTGAAGCGACTGGCGGCGGAGAATATGCCTACCACCTGGAGATTATTGAAGACCTAGATGACAGCCGCGTCCATGACGACGAGCGTGATATTCAGTCATATGATGACATCCCGCACGCAGGCATCCGCGAGTCGATACCGGTGCATCAATTATCAAAAATCTTCTATACAGACACAGGAAGGATTTTAAATATAGGCTCAGCTACAGACAGCGAGCAAAGGCCAGTCCTTCTCTTGAAGAGGGACACTCAAGCTGGGCTGGACAGATCAGAGGATGGTCACATCAACGGGCTCATCGAGGAAATCGACAGAGAAAGCAGTGATTCGATTTTGGAGTTAGACGGCACAGAAGACGAACAGGCGGATATCGATAAACAACTGCTGGACGAAGTTGTCCGTCCCGCGGTCGACGATCCAAACATCGCTGTGGCTCACTCGAATGACTATTACAAGTGGAAATTTCCTGCGCATCTTGATCCCGAGTGGATTGCTCTCGAAGTATATGAGGAGCAGGATGACGATGACCCAGATGAAGACGACGACAACGACTCCTTGGATTCAGCCGGACTAGATCGACCAACGGATACATTGAAGCCAAGTACTCCTCGAGACAGAAGACCCCTTGATTCGAGAGTGGTCGATCAAATCAAAGGGCTGTCGCTAGGTAGTCCGGAGAAAACGCGCTCTTTGCAAGCAGCCATGTCATCGCCGACTGAGACAGAAAACTTTGTCTCTCGGTCACCATTTGGAGCAATCACAACATCATTATCCTTGATGGAGATGCTGATACGGCTGGCTAGTCTCCAGGAATTTCAGCAAACGTCTCATCTGGCTATTCCCGACCACATCTTGACGTTTTTCCTAGAGGAGACATCAACTACAGGGTTGGTTGGGGAGACACAATGGCGAGCTCGAAGCGAGGCTAAACGGCGTATGGGATTTGATCCTTATACTGATGATCCAGCAAGGTAGTTGGTGATCTTGGGGATCGTCAAAATATCGCTGTGGCGATGGGTACTTGACGAAAACTCCGTCAGGGGCCAGATGTATCTATATGGCGTTTTGTGGAGAGGAAGTATCATGGGTTGGTAGTGTTTTCAATAGATGAAACATGAACAATAGCGAGTGCAAACAAACCCCGATAGCTCTCGTATTTTAAGGATACTGGTCATCTGACAAGTTTTTGAATTTGAATTGAGCATCTTTGCCCCCAAGTGCTATGTTATACCGTATATTCTTATGCTATTTATTTCGCGAAGTGCCTTACCCTGCGGTGACGACATTGTTGGTCAGGAACGAGACAACCACCTCGCGTACTATACCTAGTAGGATAAGGTAGTTACGGTTTCACATCTTGCCGCTTGAACACGTTTAACTTCGACATCAACTCAAATTAAATCACTAGCAAGTTTTCAAGATTGTTGGGCCAGCCTTCAAATCCAAAAACAACAGAAATGGCTCCTCTCGTCCCTCGTTTTCATCTCTTCGAGATTGATGACCAGCCTTGGTACGTAGCTACTTTAACCTAAACTCCACCAGCTCTCGAGCTCCATCAGCCAACCCGCTGTCCAGCTCCAGCTCCAGCTTCAGCTTCACCCCAGAACTCACGCAGTTCCTTCCTCACTAATACCATGTCCTAGGTTTCCCGCCTTCCTTCGCGCCCGCGTCCAAGATGGCCTTACTCGTGCTTGGCTTTCCAACACGCCTATTCAGTCACAAACTCCCGCGAGCCTCAGCGCCCAGGTTCTGATCAAGGAGCTCGACACGTCTCTGTCCGAATACACATTTATCGATTTTTGTGCCGGTGGCGGTGGCCCTACACCATCTATAGCGAAGACAGTGAACGCACATCTTCACTCTCGTGGATCAGACCCTGCTCGCTTCATCCTCACGGATCTTCACCCTAATGTCGAAGCCTGGGAACAGGTCGCCCAGAAGAACCCGCTACTGACGTACGAGCGGACCTCTGTCGATGCGACGGCAGCCCCAAAGCATCTTGCTAGGAGGGAGGATGGAACAAAACCGTTTAGACTATTCAATTTGGCTTTCCACCACTTCGATGACGACCTAGCTTCGGCCATTCTACGCGACGCCGTTGAAACAAGCGAGGGACTGGCTATTTTTGAGCTTCAAGACCGCTCTCTGGCAAGCGTGTTGGCAGTAACGTTTCTAGGCATTGGCGCGTTCCTCAGTGCCCCATTCTTCGCGCTTAAATGGCGATCACCTGTAACTTTCATATTCTCATGGTTGATCCCGATCCTGCCTTTTGTTCTCACGTTTGACGGGTACATCTCTGCGCTGCGAACACGGACACCAGAAGAAGTTGAGAGTCTGTTGCGGTCCTGCGGCGCCAATACTAGCAAGTGGGAGGTCAAGAGTGGCAGTGAGATGCATCTCTGGCCTTGCGGATATGTCAATTGGATCGTCTGCAAACCTCGTAAAGTTTGATAACGCAGCATAACTAGCTAATATACAAGAAAATGCGACACCCGTGTCTAGAGTGAATCTACCGAAACCACCAGTTGACAGAGGCATTTAATTGTCCACTTTCACCCACACTCTTGACAGAATGCCAATAATGGGTAGGAATGAACATAGCGTCTCCAGGGCTGAGAATTGCCTCATAGGTCCCTGATGGTACGGGTTCATTGGCATCAGCTTCCCAAACAGCCTGATGCAACTTGTCTCGTTCCTCGCCCTGCATCATCTCATCCGTCCTTATACGGCTATTGCCCGACCTCTGCAGTTCGGCCTGAACTTTCCTGAACAACCAGTCTCCTTCCCTTGGTGCCATGAGTCTGACCACTTTAGTACCGGATAGCTGACAGAACAGGTTAGGGTTGGGGTCGCGATGTAAAGGCGTATAGGTAGGTGTTATGCCAAGCCATATGCTAGAGTCATATATGTCTCCCTTTCCAGTGTGCTTGACGATTTCCGGAGTAGGAATATCTTCCTGGAGGGCTTGAGGTAAATCTGTGATCGAACACTGAGCAATGTATAGGACGATCCTTTGAAGGCCTCGACCGTCAAGAACATCGTTAAACTCCAATACCTTATTGAAGAGCTGGAGGGGGGCGTGGAGTTGAAAGAAATCCTGATCGTTTATGGAATCTGCAAAGCATAAGTCCCAACTCCTTGCTATGATAATATCCTGTGTCTCTTCTTTCCCGAGATGGCGTCGAAATAACGCTAGGCTGTTTTTCTGTGCAGGGGTCGAAGCGTAGATTTCATATGGAACCATGACATTGTGAAATTGAGCGAAATGTTCTGACAGTGTTGTCGAGTTGTATCCAAGGTCTTTGGTGAACCATTTATTCAAGGCTGGTAGAAGAGATGTTGGGGATCCAAGATGTTTTCCAAAGACGACAGGTTTCTTGCGCTCAAAAGATTGCTCACGAAATAGACCGATAGAAGTGTGCTCTTCAGGTGTGGGCGTAAGTTGAGGCACTCTGGTTCTCCCATAAGAACGATTCCCACTCATACGAAGGCGTGGAGGGGTCGTTCTCGATAGATTCCGTATCCATCGTGAGCTGAAAGAGAGATCCTTGTGCATGATCATTGAGAGGCAGAGACTCTAATAGTAACCCATTGTCTGAGAGTTCATAAATTCGTAACGTTTCTGTTTACCGTTTGAGGGTTGATCGACATCATGTTCTGCATTCGATGTCCGCTATCCGTACCTGGCTGGGGATACTTTATCAGTTGATCTACGTCTACGGCTTCTAAATTAAGATCAGTATCCAGATCGGAACGCGGTTAAACCTATTGCCGAAGCAGGTACGGTATCCAGTCCCCACCAAAGTGAAGTGGGCACCCTATTCCTGACCCGTCGTCTTTTGCTCTGCCTGTTGCGTTGCACCAAAACCATCGGATCCTTGCGGACGGAATCGACTGAAAAGGAAAATAAAATTTGCTCGATCTTATTCATTCTCATTGACCCATTTCAGTTCAACTTGGTTCGAGGCGGATTGCTCATTTGATTTGCTTCAAGTTACTATCGCGATGCGCTGATTTTCTGTGCTGTTATTGATTTTGGTGCAATCACATACAACCGTCTACCAACCCATCTTAGCGTACTTGCGTGCCCTGTCCAGTCCAGTCCAGTCCAGTCCTGTCCTGTCCTGTGCTCGTGGCTCGCGATATCCAATCTGCGCCCCTCAAAATACTCACCACCATCACCCCGCCTCAAGATAGCTTCGCAGCTATCCTATCGATACCGGGAGCTTCGACCCCACGTTCAGAAGCCTCATAACAGCTTGGATTTCTCCGTCTACCCATTGCGATCAATTTCCCCCTCATCTCTACAGTGCGCCCCCCCCCAGCCTCGCCACTGGCAGCCGTTGCCCCTCGACAACGGAACCGACAACCACGATAGCGGCATCATGTCCACATCTTCAGGTGTTCCCGAGTCGTGGATCTCGAGTTTCTGCTCCCTGTTTGGCCACGAGTACTTTGCTGAGGTTTCGGAGGAGTTTATCGAAGATGACTTCAACTTGACAGGTCTGCAGACTCAGGTTGCCATGTACAAAGAAGCGTTGGAGGTATGTTTATCTCCCCAGCGCGTCAATATTGATGGACCTGCTCAAGGATTTAGAGTTGCTAACATCGAACTCCTGCCTCACAGATGATATTGGATGTGGAACCAGAGGACGATGAGGACGAGGAGGATGAAGAGGAGGAAGAGGATGAAAATGAGTCCGACCCCGAACGCTTGACCAGAGCATCCAACGAGCGGAGGCACCACCGCATGGCCAGCGATTTGTCTGTCGTCGAATCTTCTGCCGAAATGCTTTACGGCCTCATCCACCAGCGTTTTATCTGCTCTCGAGCAGGAATCCAGCAAATGAGCGAGAAATATGAGCTCGGCCACTTTGGTTGCTGTCCCAGGACGAACTGTGACCAGGCCCGTACTCTACCTGTCGGTCTTTCAGATATTCCTGGCGAGGACACAGTCAAGCTCTTCTGTCCATCGTGCTTAGACGTCTATGTTCCTCCTAACAGTCGTTTCCAGACCGTCGACGGTGCTTTTTTCGGCCGCACCTTTGGTTCTCTTTTCCTCCTCACTTTCCCCGAATACGACCTCACCAAACGCGGTATCGAGGTGCTCTCCAGCAGCGGCCCTCGCGTTAACGAGGGCGACGGCCTTATCAACGGCATGTATGCTAAGAATATTGGCCCTGGTCTAGGCCGTGAACGCATATATGAGCCTCGAATTTACGGATTCCGTGTTTCTGAGAGGGCCAGGTCCGGCCCTAGAATGCAGTGGCTTCGTGAACGGCCCACAGATATCAACGAGCTTGACGAAGCTCGTCTCTACGCAGAACAGAACCCGGACTCAGAAGATGATGACGATAACGGTGGTCAAGTTGGCATGAATGGTAGAGTCATGGTTCGTCGACGCCCACCCGGAAACGCTCGCCTTCGCCAGCGACAGAACCAGAATGGCAGCCCTATGGCTCTGTCCACAAACGGAGCCGAATCGGAGCTTTAGAGCGATGCTCGAACGCTATCAGCCTCGAACCTATTTGACTTATGACACCGGCCATTGCTCGTGCCACGAGTATCGGTATGAAAGGCTGGAATCTGCTGCAACAAAATGTCCTGGCAATGAATTAAACGGGTGTTTGGCGACATAGCGGATACGGGAACTGGCAACAATTGTAGACACACTTTGTGAAATACGTATTAAGAGGAGCTGAACAGGGAGATGGCAGGCGGGGGTGGAAAGTCACGATTGGGTTTCGCAATTAATGCATAGAAGGCGTTGAACGTTTGAAGGTAGGCATAGGAAAATACACACTGAATGCATATTAACCGCTGTTCAACTCGTCGTCATGATCATTCTCACAACTGCATTGGGGCCAATTTGGATTTTGCTGTTTTGAACGGTTTAGCTTTGTCAACTGTTCTTTTTCATAGGCTTTATGCATGATTTCTATGGATAGACGCATACATGCTGTTCCCTATGCTGTTCACCTTCACGCATCACACCTCAACTCGCCAAGCCGGGACGATTGTATGTATGTCCCGTGTTCTCCACCTCATACAGTCTTGACTTCATACGACAGTCAGACTAGATCATCTCTGCTCGCCATGAATTCACTAGGGCGCATTTTGTTGTGCAAAACCACAAACGGTCAAAAAACAAAGTAGTAAAAGCAAAAACCCAACCTATCACCAAACACCCTGCCGTCAGAACCCATGCTAATCGTGTACATCATGGCCCTCGTCCGTCGCCGGTTCTATGCTAACAAAGGGAAAGGGGAAAAA